TATCAGATGTCTGCCTTGTATGACAACCAGTGCATTACCAAAACCACAGTGCAGAGCTACGGAGCGCAGCTGGAAACCCACCGCCTCCCTCCTGCCAGCTGGCTTGGGCTGTTTGCACAGCCACTGGTGGATCAGTGATCTCTGAGGGAAGGGATGAAGTGCTGTATTCGCTGTAGGTAGAGAGGAGAAGCAGTGGGGAGAAGCACTTGGTGGGGGAGATGCTCACAGGGACCTGTGTCCAGGTTGATGCTTGCATACGATTGACTTCAATCTCTTGTCATCCTCTGTTGCAAAGAGCAGGATGGACTGGCAGCCAGCTCCTTTACCCTCCAACAGTGCTCTCGGGGTGTTTCAGGCTCTGTGGCACTATCCCCTTGGACACTTATAGATTGGCAGGTAAATTATCTTCTTATTCTGGCAAACTACACCATGGCACTTGCACTGCTGGTGGATGCCTCGCAGGGTTCACAGCCTGTTGTACCTTTCAGTCTCTCCACAGACTGCAGAGACACATCCTTGCCCATACAGAAAGTCTGGATCCTCAGTGGACTCCCTACTCTGTTGATCCCAGGATTTGCTCCTCCAGCCATTCCCTCCGAATGAAGACGCCCAGGCAATCCCTGATGCTCTGCGAGGGGAAGAGATTTGCAGCTCATTGTGGCTCAAATGAACCAATTAGAGGTCAAACTGCCAAGTCCAGAAGAGAATCAAAGATAATGAAGGCAACAAGCTTGTATTAGAAGACTGAAAGCACTGGAAGGAGATAATACCTGAGACAGCAGCTCAGGAAAGGTGCACAAATCTGATCTTGCACTCAGCTGTGTGCTGATGCCCTGATTTCTCCCTTTTGACCAGGGGACAATTGGCCCATCCCTTTGTTGAGCTTTGTCACCAAGTGTGAACTTGGACAAAGCGATCAGAAGATAGATACTCACTTAGCTCCAGCTGCCTTGAGACCTGCCAGCCACAGCTGGGAGACTCATGGACCAGCTTCAGCTTGCTGAAAACCACTGGCTTTGAACCACGCACAGGCTGTCCCCAGGGACATGGCTGGGGCCTCCCTGCTGCTTTGGTTTGGGATTTAAAACCAGCTTTCAGATACGTTAACACTGGGAACGGCTGAGCCAAGTTAGAGCTTAGAGTCTTCAACAATGCTTCTTGGGTGCCAGGGAATCTTGGTCGTGGTCTTGGTATCTATGATAGATTCCAAGCATCAGGATGGCTTTCTGGAAAATGAAGCCTTGCTCAGTAAAGCCAGCTGTGTCCCTGCTGTAGGGATCAGTCGCTGGGTGAACGTCTCTTTTCTGGCTGGCTGAATGCAAAGTCAGGTGGGGAAGTCCTACCAAGGATGGAAAGTGTCACCAAGACCTTCCTTTCAGCCAAGTTCCTCAGCTTCAAGTGGAATCCATGACCCAGAAGAGCAGCACAGACCTTTTATGCTTCCTCCAGCTTTACCACCACTGAAGGTGCTTTAGCACATCCCTTCTTCATCTGCCATCTCCCACGTTGCTCTATGACTGTGCAGACCAAAGAACTGCTTAGCCTCCTTCTATCCCTTGCACTAGGCCATCTCCATATGGTGTACATGCCCTGCCAAGCTCCCCCAGCTACAACAGGGTGCTGCCAGCACCAGGCCTTTGCCCCATACCAATATGTGCAAAATGGGCTTGAATATGTACCAGCAATAAAGCATTTCAGAGCAACCAGATGCCTCATTTCCCACATTGGTCAGGCGGACACTCAGTAGTGAAGTGTCGCATTCCTTTGGACATAAGCAAAATCAAGACTAAGACTAAACATGTCCTTGGTGTTAAGGAAAATCCTTCAAGAAGGGATGTAGCTGTGGGAACATGCGATGGAAAGGGTTTTTCCAGAGGCTGTTGCTGCTCGGGGGGGGCACATCTCTGTGGGACCCCTTTAGTACCGAGGCAGAGGCCAACACAAAGCCAATACAAGGCGCAGGAAAAGCTTCTCTCTATGTCCATGACTGCAGATGGGTGTCAGCTTCCTTAAGCTAATGTGAATCTCCTCCAGATGTTGAAGGTGGGGTACGCACTCCTAAATGGAGGTTAGTTTGTTGGCACAGGTAACCAGACAGATCCTTGTGTGTCTCTTGCACTAACAGCACAGAAACATCAACATCTCTCTGTAGTTGAGCAGCACACCACTGGAGGAGAAGGAAACATCTCTAGTCCAGGGAAATGTCAGCAGATCCAGGCAGGAATGCAATGAAGCACAGAGGTAAGGGCTCTGGGTGTCATGCCAGGAGAGACCAAATGAAGATGTAATAGCTGCAGTTCTCTGTAAAACTGAGTATTGGACAGTGTTAACACTGTCAGATGTATTAAAACCATATGTAACATGTGTGATGTGCAAGCACACAATAACTGCAGCACACCCAAGCCCAACGTGCCTCCTCCCTACACTATAAGTGGCTCTGTACCTTCCTACGGCAATTTCCCTACCAATGGATGGGTTTGTCACTGTGCCTGTGGTGGCTTCTGTGGCACTGCCTTGCAGAGGATGGGTTGATGTGATATTCCAGCTTCCAATACTCAACTGAACGGGAGGCGGTTCCCGTTATCTTTAGCATCTCTGAGCTGTCAACTGGGCAGAAACCTAAGGAGGATCCCATGGATATTTGTACCTTTTCCCCATGGTAAGGCGGGATAAAAGTCTCAAAAATGGGAAAGGAAAAATTATTTGTTCTTCTATCAGAGGACTTCCATCTTCAAATTACCTCAGCAAGACAGGAACACCAGCCTATATATGAGGTAATGGCCAGGCGTTTGGCAGGGGAGCCAATGCTATCTGGAGCCTATGTGGTCTCTGACAGTCTGCCCTGAGTTAAGACATAGGGATATACAAAGCAGCACATTAAAATAGTAGATGGAAATATAGCAGTCTGCAGTAAAACAAACACACACAAAAGGGAATGATTATGAGCAGGAATCTTGGCTCTGTTGACTCTTTATGGCATCATGTTCCCAGGGACATGCTGGCAAACAGCGGGGATGGAGTCTGAGAGAATCTATATTTCATACTCTATAACTTAATATGGCTTTTGCATGAGTTTAGTGTTTTTATTGGGTTCTTAAAACATGCACTGTATAAACACGTGAACCAGCCAGAAGCACAGCACGTGGAGGGCCGGGTGCTGAGGGTGGCTGTCCACGGAGCTGGGAGGGAGCCGGGATGTTGGGAACCACCCCATGCCATACCACCCCTTGGTATGGTCCCAATCCTGCAAAGAGCTCCCTGCGGATACAGGGGGCTGGGGCCAAGGATGGCCTTATTTAGGGCAGGACAACAGCCTTATTCTGGACATTTATGGTGCTGCATGGCAGTACTGAGCCAACGTTTCCACTTTCAGGGCGAGTCAGTGCTCACACCGCAACCTCAGCCCAAAAAAACCAACATGAATCCAGCCCCTTTGCCTCCATCCCCTCGCACCCTTCTCCTTGTCCTTCTTTTAGCCAGCCACCATGTCACCAAAGGGAAAACAATCTGTTCCAACACAGAGCATCCTCCCAGCTCTCAGAGGTACCTGCCTGCCCTATCACTTCCCACCCATCCTGGGCAGGGAATTCAGAGCTGCCATAAACCTGGTCAGCCCTGGGCTCCTTCTGACACATCCAGAGACGTGTGGGGTGGGAGCCAGCGTGTTCCCTGGCTGCATCAGGAACAGGGCTTGTGCTATAGGCGAGCACGGCCGCTCCGCTCAGGCTGGCTGCATCCAACCCAGCCAGGCTATGGCTGCACAGCAAGAACCTCACAAGTCTTGCACGTCGGAGAGCTTTGATCCACAGCAATAATTACAATGAATAAATCATGGTGTCAAGATGACATCGTCTGCATTTCAAGCAGAAGGACCTGACTTGGCTTGCAGAGCAGCCCGCTGGGGCACTGGGCAGAGCTATCCTTCATCTGGCAACACTGAATGAGCCCCAGGCCAGACCATGCAGACTTATCCCAGAGCCAAAATCACACTTTCTGTGACACCAAAATCAGACCTCCAAGTGAACCAGACATATCGAGGATGTTCATTGAGGATCCAGGGATCATTTCCTGCTAATTTGTTCTATTTGTTTTCTATATTTAAGGGAGAAACCCAGAACTAAGCAAGTAATCATCAAAGAGAAGTGAGAGAAAGCAAAAGCTGGCCATTTCCAAACTCCAGGCCAAGGCTGGAGTGCCAGCCAGGGGAAAATCAGTTCCTCGCAGTCCTGTGCACATCCCTCTCTATACCCTGCGAGGTGGTCCATTTCACAGGTGCAGCAGAGGCACCGTGTCCCAAGCCCTATGGCAGAGCAGGGAAGTGATCCACACCTTAAGTGTGTATCCTGATGGAAAGACCAAACCATCTCCTGGATGGAGGTCTTTGCAAAAATAACACACTTTATGGCACCATTTGCAGTGAGTGACATCTCAAATGGGACTGCTTTAAGTCCTGGTTTACTGCCTGCGTCTCCCTCTCAGGCTGCCCCTAGGAGTTTTGCTGTAATATGGCATGCTTTGTTAGGGTCGTATTAATGCCTACAGTAATCACTGCCCTTATTTGAAACAAAAGAAGAAGGGGAAAAAAGGGAAAGAAAAAGCCTATTTATTTCTTACTAGGGTTTAAGTGCAATCAAGTCTCTCAGAGGACTGAAAGCTTCCTTTTAGTGCAAAAGGATTTTGTCTCTTAGACGAGCTGGTTTGCCCTCTGCAGCCCAAAGCTCGGTGTGTGCCTGAAGCCTGAGCTGGGGAGCATGTGCTGCACCCCTGGGCTCAAACCGCAGCCATTGGGAAGGTTAAAGTCATCTTAGACACAGGGATTTAGACAAGAGCTGATCTTTCTAGGGCAAGATGTCACTCCGATCTGGAAACCAGGGTGCAGTGGCCCTGTGGAGAGCACAATGCTGTACCCTGGTGATTCAATACCCGCCTATGCAGCTCAGAGGGGAGAGCAGTGATTGCTTCAGGGACCCCATGGGGTCCACGCTGGTTTCCAGACTCACTCGGACACCTGTGATGCCGGGATATCCAGGAGGCCCTTCCTTTCCCTTCAGTCCTTCGTTGCCTTTTTCTCCTTTCTCTCCTTCCAGGCCTTGGTCTCCTTTGTCTCCCTGTGGAAGAGAGGAGGGTGGGAGCTTTTCATACCCACACAGCGCATGGGTCACTGGACAAGGCAAAAAACCCACCACATAATTAATATTTCAGGAGTCTGAGAGGAAGAAGCCTGCGAGGGAAAGGATGAATGAGGATGAGTCATAATACACTTGACATTTAAAACATGAGCAAAACCAGGTTTCTTGTGTTTTGTTGAATGTCTTGGCTGGAGGGGAAGGAACTCCCCCATTACACAGGGTAATGTGAACCCCTTTGCTTCCCCTTCAATAAGAGCTGAACCTCCCACATGAATGAGACAAGCAGACAAGAGCTGCAAGTCTCTCTTGCCTAAGCTTGGGATGCTGAAAGGTTCATAATAGGACAGGTTTGTCTGGAGCAGCCTTTTGGCTCCTGCTGCCAAACGGGAATCAGCCCAGGGCTCAAATAAACCCTCTGCACAACAGAGTCATCTCGCCCTGGTGAAGGATTTGTGGCCTGAGCAGCAGGTATCACATCGAATCACTGCTCCTGCAATTGATAGCACTGAATTTTATGGAGACAACCAAAAAGGCCAATTCTGTACTGAGAGCAGCACCTAACACTTGTGCAACCAGACTGGCTTTAACAGTCATTTCCTACTTGCACCTATGATTGTGAGAGCACAGCAACACCCCTTCTGATTAAACACACGCTCTTCTGTCCAGAGACACATTCAGGCTGAATAGATTTGGTTTGAGGAGCTCTTAGGGGTAGTGGTGGCAAGAGAATACAGAAGTCTTGACTGTCTTTAAGGAAGAGTCTATTGGTCCAGCGTTCAGAGATAAGCAGAACGGAGACACATGGCAAACAGCTTAACCAGTACGAAGCAATAAATTGTGCTGTTGTGGGACTGGCTGCTGTTTCTTTCCATGGGACAAAGCTGTTGGCCTGTTTGGATAGACCAGCTGTGCAGGGACAGGAATCAGGCCTGTTCCAAAGGCCAGGTAGCAAGCCCACAGCAGTGAGATACAGAGCACAGCGCAAGCCCTGAGCGAGCTTTGCCAAGAGGAAGGGCATCTGGTTTCTTTACTTTCTAGCAATGCTCTGACCAGTGGTGCAGGGCAGTGATTTGGTTTCCCCTGCCAGGCCCTGGAATTCCTGATTAGTTGGAAATTGAATCTGCAAAGACTCAAATAACCCAGACAAATTGTTGGAAACCACAGTTTGGAGAACTTGACCTTTTTGGAGATCTGATCAGGTGCCAAAACCGCGGGCAGAGGAGTGAAACAGGAGGAGTCCATTACGTGTGCTTGCAGGAAAAGAGTCCTTAGAGGGAGCAGGGCAGAGGTTTATTGCCCAGAGGACCCAATGACCCCTTTAGCTTCAACCTGGCCCTGGGAATCACGGGACCTTGAGTGCATGGGGATGTGAGAGCTGAAACGTGCCATGAGAGTGAGGTTTACCTTGACACCGTCTGGGCCGGGTGCCCCGTTGTCCCCTTCCAGCCCTGGTTCCCCCTGTAAGACAGAGGCAAGCACCATAAGGATGTACATAAACAGGCTTTTCCCTAAGCTTTCTGTAGATGATTCATGGCAGTGAGTGACAGGATCCCAGCCCTTTGACATGTCCCATCTCACATCCTGATGCCGAACAAGCTCTTCTGGAGCAAGAGCAGGAATTCAGCCTCTTGTTTTATTCTGAGACACAGTTTCTCCTCCATGGATCCTATGGGAAGACCTTTTCCCTGTGCTGAAAAGGGGGCTCAGTCTGCATTCATTTAACCTGGGGCTTCCCCATCCTGCTCCAACAACTGACCTTAGTCCTGAGAAGGACAAGAGGTGCTGCTGGATTCAATCCACACATTCATCCCACCCCTGGCTCCATCCCACTTGTGTATAGTGTAGCCAGTGTTTCCCTGCTTAATGCTTGCCTTCTGCTCCAGCATTCCCTGCATCCTCCTGGTGAACAGGACAGGTCTGTTCCCACACTGCCCCTTTCATACGTGAGGGGGTCACAGCAAAGCAGCACTGTACCATTGGGGATGCTCACGTAGGATGCTGAGCTGGAGCTGAGAGGCTCTGTGAGGAGGGTGTTGCCATCACCCGCAGGAGAAACAAAGGCCATAAGGGTTATGGCATGCTCAGAGCAGGGTCTGTCTGCCCAGGCTAACAGTGAACAGGGAACAGAGCCTCTGGGGAACTACTAAGGCAAAGCAGCTCATCCGGAAGGTGCTGTACTCACCCTTTGACCAATGAGGCCTTGCTCTCCAGGGGTTCCCAACTGGCCAGGATCACCCTATAAAGAAGGAAGCATACACATGGAGACAAGTGGTTTACTGATGGTGAGTGAGCTTGAAGTACTCCCCATTGCACCCCTCATTTTGACCTTTCTTTCATTCTACACAAACATCTTCAGTTTGTGAAGGGGTCCAAAGGACAGGTTGGCATCACCAGCTTGCACAGGGCCAGCTCACACCAGCTCTGTTGCAGTGATGCTCAACAAGGCAGGGATCAGTGGTTGTGCCAAGAAGATATCCCCTTGGCATGGTCCTTTGGCAGCAAAGCAGCAATGCTGGGTGCATGCAGCGCTGCAGCAGACACGACCAGGGAGGAGAAGAAAGCAAGCAGCTTTCTGAGCCCCAGCATCACTGAGGAGGGTGAAGAAGAACCTGAGTCTTTGATGGCACTAAAATGAATGGATTGAAGGTAGCAAACAAATAGATCTTGGGGACAGGCTGTGATTCAGCACAACAGCCATAAGGCAGCTACACCCCATGTGTGCTCATCCAAGATAAGCCTTGCAAGGAAGAGAGCTCAGGAAACACTGAGGTACAAGGGGAAAAAGCTTGGATCTATCCATACATCTTAATCTGCATCAAACCAGTCTGCAAGTGATGACTGTGCAAAGCAATCTCAGTCTATCCCAGCACCTCCCAGTTTAGGATAAGGAGCAGCACGGGATTGATGCTCCCCAGCTCCCAGAAAGGATGTGTTACAGGAGGTAAAGGGGTGTTTGTGCAAACATCATGCCCCGTTCCCACGGAGCGCGGCCGGGAGCACGGGAGCTGTAACACCCGTGCAGCATCAGGACGCCAAAGACATGGCAGCTCCAGTGGAGCGTCAGAAGGTTTGCCAAGGAAAACATGGCAAAGGATGGGGCTGGGGGCGGGGGGTGAAGAGCAGCACAGAGGAAATTGCATTTAATCCCCACATAGAGCCCCTTCAAAAGCTTTGCACACAGGAGCGAACCTTCAAACCGAGCGGAAAGGGGGTTAGGATCAAATAAAAACCCCCCTGAGCTGCTCGGCACAGGGATCTCATTCAAACAAAGAGATGCTTTTTAGAGGCTTTTCCGTGTGGACAAGAAGGTGCATTCATGGCTCTGGAGCAGGGCACCCTTCCCCCATAACCTTTACAGGAGTTTGGTCCCTATGGAGCTGAGGCTTGGAAACTGCGGCAGGATCTTGTTTGGGAACATTTTTGAACTTGGGACCTGCCTAAGACTCTTCTTGTTCCAAATTAGAAGCTGCTGGATCTCTGGGTCTTGAGGACTCCCCGCTCCACTCAGACTGAGGGAGAAATGAGCTTCATTTCCAAGGTCTTCATAGCTCTTGAGGGTCAACGCCCCCGGGATGGAGCTTCTCCCCATCACCATGGGATGGAGCTCAGGGCTTTGTAACTAAGGGCTTAAAATTAACCTGGTTTTCTCTCTTAAACTTTAGGACAAGGGGAATGGGTTTAAACTGAAACAGGGGAGATTTAGGTTAGATATAAGGAAGAAGCTCCACTGTGAGGGTGGTGAAGAGCTGGAATGGACTGCCCAGAGAAGTGGTAAATGCTGCATCCCTGGCCCCAGCCAGGTTGGACAGAGCCTTGGTTGACAGGGTCGAGTGTGAGATGTCCCTGCCCAAGGCAGGGGGCTGAAACTGGATGATCTCAAGGTCCTTTCCAACCCGAACCATTCCATGATTCTATGATAGTTTGTGGAATATACAACTGCTTCGGCTGCTGGAGGGTGAACCCCAATGTTACCCCATCCTGCAGGAACAGAGGTTGCTATTATTATCTCCTTGGTCTGACACAGCATTTGCACTAAGGGGGTTTTCTTACCTTCATGCCAGGTTCACCTGCAGGGCCAGGTTGTCCTATTGAGCCAGGCGGACCCTGGGAAACAAAACACCCCAAGATAATGAAAAAACCCATTGTAACCAAGCAGAAAGCAAGATCAAAGACATAATTCCTTTAACAGAGCCCTCCTGGGCCAGCAGAGCCCTGGCTGCAATGTAGTTACCTCCCTGGAGCTGGATCAGGGTACACAGCATCAAAGAGGCTCAGTCCCTCCCTTGCCTCGTTCCTGGGAAGGCTCTGCTCATCCCTCACACCTCCCCTGTCCCCAGACACCTCTGCCAAGCGCTTCCAACTCATTCCAACCCTCTGCTTTCTAAGGGTAGTAACCACGCCAGGGAGCAGCACTGGGATTAGAAGCGAAAGAAGGGAAAAGGTCCAGAGTTGGACTTAAAAGCCCTTTTGCAAGGGTCCAGCAGGATGGCTGATACATCCAGCTCCCTGCATCCCCACTTCTCCATCACTATGGGTGTGAGGACACTCTCCAGGCCACCAGCCTGGTTCTGGTTAGGGTGAAACCTTAACACATCCTCGGGGGCTGCAGCACATTGAGATGACACGGCTTCAGTCATTTACTCTATTCATTTTCTCTAGGTGTAATGGGCCAGCAAACATCCTAATGCCAAAAACTGGGCTCAGACCAGAGATCCATGATCCAGGGTTGTCTCTAGGCTGTACTAGCTGAAAGAAAGTGGCTGACCCCTGTGTGAGCATAGACACTGATAGAGAGGCTTGGCATCCCTCAGAGGGCCTGAGCTGGGAAACTATGGGAAATCAGAGAGAAACTGTTCTCACTCCGAGTCCAGCTTTACAATAGCGGGGTCATGTCCATCAGCTATCTTTAGTACCAAGATCAACTGGGAGCTTTAGTCTTTGTACATTTTCTGCTACCTCTGGGAAGCACGGGGAATGAGAATCAGTCAAAGAAGCCCAAAGATGGGACAGCAAAGAACGTCTTTAAAGGATTTGAGTGGTTTATTTACTTATGATATTTGCTTTCCGGACAACACTCTCCCTTCTCTTTGCAGATGGGAATGAAGAGCCCGGAGTCAAGGGAGCAACTCTGTTGCCCAGGGAATAAAGCCAGTTCCAGGCTTGCTGAACTGGATTCAAGGAGAGGAGGGAGCAAGGGCGTGTGTTGGGTTTGTGAACAGTCAAGTCACACAATGAGAAAACCGAGGCTCCAAATGAAAGCAGGAACCCTGCTCTGGTTTCTCCAGAGGTGCCAGTGCAGAAAGAGGCTCCTGCAAGAGTCAGACTTGAATCAAGCTTTGTACTTTCCTGGTTGGCAGCATGCAGAGGGGCTCGGGAGCAGCTTTCCAGCTCCCCAGTGTGGTTTACCACGCTGAGAGCTTGCTCCATCCAGTCTAGCAGCCATGAGAATGGAAACTTGCATGACTCACACTTTGCAGTAGAATGCATTAAAAGCCACCTTCGCTGCTGTTTGGACAACAGAGTGAAACATCACGTCTATATTACAGCTCGGGACCTATGGACAGGAGCTACCCAAAGGGAACTGGCACATCTGGAATAAACAGCTAAGACTGTAATACTTCAAGCACAATAAAATCAAGCCAGGGCTGCAGACAACTTAGGGAGGAACCATGGAGGCATCTCCTGCACTCCATTAGGGCACTGTTTGGCTGCTGCTGCTTTGGTTATGGTGTGTTTGTGCCATTGCTTCATGGCAACGGCAACCCCAAAGCACTGTCGACAGCAAAGGCGTTTCTCTGAGCTTCCTCAGAGGCTTGTGTTGGAACTGCCATAGCAATCCTTATGGGCTGTCTTGTCAGCAATGGCACCAGTGAGTGGGAAAAGCCAGTTTTCAGTTTGATTTGTTATTGTATTTGCACTGCCCTGGTGCAGAAAGATGCTCCCTGGTGTGGTTGTAAAGCCACGCTTGGGACATGCTTGTCAGTGGGGTCAGCTTTAAGATGTTTCTCTTGTTGTGGGTCCGCACCTCTGCCACCTGTGGGTCTATGGCCTGTGATGAAAATGATGCTCGAGTTTCTGATTTTCACCATTGGCTTTGGAAATTCACTCTTGGACTCAAAGGAAATCCTTCCTGCTCGTGTCCCCAGGTGTGGAAGGAAGCACCTCTGCACATTTACTGCTCCCTCACACCTACCACTGCTGGTGCAGGGGGAAATCAAACAGGAGCAAAGATCAGACCTACCTTATGCCCGATGTCTCCCAAAGGCCCGGGCGGCCCCTGTGGTCCCTGTGGCCCCTGGAAAAGAGACACAAGACTCTTTTCATACGAGTCTTCATTTCTGAAGGGCTATCCATGTCTGTAAGGTAAAAAACCAGCTCCCTCCCACACCACTGAGTGCAAGAGATGGCCAATGAGATGGGTCTGCTGAGGCACCTTAACAGGCAAACAGCGCAGGACACCCTTCATCTTTCTGGTTCTCACCTCAAACAACTGCAGTTGGCAAAGTGAAAATGCCTGGTTTACCTTCTCCCTTCACTGTCCAGGTCAGTCCCAACAGACACAGAGAGCAGAGGTGATTCCTCTTCCTGCTTCAGTGTCCTCTTGGCCCTCCCTTTGGGCTGTGTCTTCACCAGTCACCTCCCAAAGCCATGGGCTCAGTTCTGACACTGTCCCAGTCCCAGCCTTGCCCTTCTCTCCTCCCTTCCCTTCCGGAATCCAGCCCAGGCTGCATCCTACACTCTCCCTGGCTGATCCACAGCCCCCTTCTGATTTCCAGGGGCTTGACCTTGTCCTTCCCCATGCCTCCTAGGACTCCAGCCAAGTCTTTCACATCCCTGACCAAGCTGGAGCTGGCAAGGACAGAGAAGCTGGGAATGGGAATAAGTGGTGTGGAAGAGGCAGACAGAGGAAGAAATGAAGTGGCTGCGTATGTGCAAGGAAAGAGAGACCAAGAGGAAGTAATAAGACACTTACTGGGTCACCTGGAGCCCCTTTTGCTCCTGGAGGTCCAGAAGGTCCTTGGATACCCTAGAAAAGTCAAACACATCAAAGCCAGCTCCAACCTCATAGAAATCCTTCGTGCAGTAACATGCATCTCATAAATGCTCCAGTAAAAGGAGTGGAGAGGTAGCCAGACACTGTCCAAATGCTTCTTCCTGGACCAGGACTCAGCACTTAGGGATTTAAGTGAGATTAAGGTTATGAAAGGAAGCACAAGGGATGGATACTTACTGGGAAGCCACGTGCTCCTGTCTCTCCGGTCTCACCCATCTTCCCCTATGAACACACAGTTACAGTGATTATCAGCTGGGGATGTGCTGAGATACCTGCAGTGATTTGTCCAGCAGAAGCTGCAGTTCCCTGGGCAATGTGTGCATGTGGGCATCCCCATGGGGGACTGACACCGTGCCAGGCACTGGCTCTCACAGAGGACATACCTGCAGCCCATCTGGCCCCTGCTTGCCTGGCTCCCCTGATCGGCCCTGGAAAGCAAAAAGGCAAAGACTCAAAACACTAGTGATGTTCTTCTGCCCCAGCCCATCTGTGCTTGCACATCAGTGCATCAAATATCCCCCTCCAGTTCCCTGCAGCTTTTGAGAGGCCAAATGCTCAGCATCCTGCCTTAAACAGCACCTCAAACAGCACAGAATGTGGGCAATGGGCTGCAGGACCTAAGGTTTACTGAGCAAACACTGCTTTGCAGGAAGCTGGGACTCTCAGGAGACTCAGCACAGCCCTGCCTGAGGAATAAAGGAGATTCCCCATCCATATTGTATTCACAGGACCATGTGTGCAATGCAGGAGATGAAGTTTGTAATGCTCAATGGTAGGACCAGGGTCCAGCTCTGCCAAGCTACTCTTAGATCTGGCTGCTGCCAAAGGGAGAAACAATCCCATGCACCCACCTCAGAGCCTATTGTGGAGCAGCTCACCCTGGATGAAGATCTGCTTGGGCAGGACATCTGCCAGGCTCTGCATCAGGCATCTCTTGCCCTGCATTTTTCCCTGTCCTTATCTAAGTGACATGGAGCACATCAGAACAGGTACATATTCCCTTAGGTCATGCTTTACCAGCTGTGTTAAATTGCTCTGATTTTGGCACTATGTTCAGATGTAACCATCAAGCACACTCACTGCCAGTTAAAGCCATTCCCACTCCTGTGAGGGATACTATTATTTCAGCAATGGCCCTTTTATGTTTGAGGACTACCTCTGTATTCAGTGGTCTCAGACCCCACATTGAACACATTTGTCTTTGGTTGCATGAAAGGCTCATCCCTGCAGGTCGATCCTTACAGAGCAATTGAGCATCCCCTGTTCCTGGAGGAGGACATGACCCTGATCCTGCCCAGAGCATGCCACAACACAGCTAAGAGCAGCCTTGGGCACCCATCGATGCTCACCTTGACACCTCGCGACCCCGGCTCACCGACTGGTCCATCAGGCCCTCTGTCACCCTGGGAAAAGGCAAAACAGAGGCAAAAATAAGAACACAAAGAATGTGTCTCACTGGAAAATACAGCGTTGCCCTAGCTTTGGGCACCAGGAAGGTCCATGAGGTCAGTCTTGGCCTAAACCAGCCTATACCTGGTTGGGTTGAGCACAGCAGTTCAGAGCCCAGGACTCAAAAGATCCATTCTGTGTTTTGTGCTTCATTTCTCACCATTACAGCACCAAAATACTTTCTGTTCCTGTTAAACCAACTACCAACTGCAGACCAAAGCCAGGGGAGGAAAGAGGCCAGGAACAGCCTTATTTTGAGACAGCAGTTACATGACAACAGTTTCATGATGCACAAACTACCCTTATTGAGAGCAATCCTCTTCCTTCTTAGAAACTACACTTCTCCATCGCATCCTGACCTTAACTCTTGACATTCCACACTGTCTCATGATCACAATCAGGGCAACAGAAGTACAAGGTATAGAGGCACACAAGCCTGACCATACATAATTGTCTTGGGCCCCAAACTGCTCTCAGAGATCAGGGTATGTTTGCTGGTAGCAGAACTCAAGGTTTCAGCTATAGTTTAAAGAACTGGCTGCTATTAAGGATCAGGCAGGTGCTCATGCATATGCATGCTAGGAGCATGCCGTGCCTGCTTTGGCATGTCTGATCCCATGCCCAGCATCAGCTCCGGGATGCGTGCAGTAGGCATGAGGACCTCAGGAGGTGCATGGGACACGCGCACATGTGGCAAATACAGGAGTCCACACGGTGAGCAATCCTGATGGGATTAGGTACAATGGAACAGCTCATGGTACAGATGGGCATCCTTGAGGAATGGGTGTCCTTGTTTTTCCAGAGGGTTCCAAGTGAGGAGAGGGGATAGCCGTGATTTAGCTTTCAAGCTAATTCTGGAAGAGAACGCACATCCCTCTGCGCCACTTGAACCCCAGGAAGCAGCGTGTCCCACTGACAGAGAATAAACAGAGCCAGAGTGAGGGGAAAATAGAACAGTGAAAGAAAATAGGGCATATCAAAAGACTTTGTTAAGGCGCGTCATGCTCATAATCAGGCCATGAGCTCAGTTGGGACTCTGAGGTGCTACCGCAATATAAATACAAACACAAACACAGAGCGGTGCTAGAATGGAGCCGTAAGAGGAATCCTGAGAGCAAGCCAGTGTGGAAATAGGGAAAACAGGAGCCAATGTGCTTAATCGGGATGCAAAGCGAGTGCCAAAAGTAATAACAGGGCTGGGGAGCCAATGCGTTAGAAAAGCAACTCCAGGATGACAGGCAAAGAGAGAGAGAGGGAGGCTCACAAAGAAAGGCAGTGTAAGAGCAGAAGAGGAATAGGAAACCGGCCAAATTATTACAGCAGACAAACACTGTCAATGTAAAATAATGCAAAAACTTCTACTGGGCTTGGCAAAACCCTGTGCCGCTGAGAGTACCAGAGAGTCAATGACCAAGAGGCTCTATTGCGTGCCAGGAAGGCACAGCCCTAAAGAATGCTCAGCCTGGTCTCCAGGGCAGACGGACAGAGGAGGACCGTTCACCAGATGGGAACACCGCAACCAAACGGGGTGTTTCACAGGTCGGGGCTTTGCTATGTTAGTGCAATGGTAGCTCACACCAGCCCAAGTGCCCCAGCTCGTGCTGGCCACTGCATCAGAGAGCAGCAAAGATCAAAAGGCTCATTAATCCTTGTCCATGCACAATGACATGAAGCAGGAGGTCATTGGAAAGCAGTAGCACTGACAGCCCAAGTCAGCACTGTAAGCTGGGAGAGGAGGGCTTGAAGGCACCTGGGATGATGCTTGGGATGACAGGGGGTTGGGACTGGATGGTCTTAAAGTCCTTTCCAACCCAAACCATTCTGTGATTCTATGATGGGGACACCCAGCAAAATACACAGACCCGCTCCGGGCTGCCCAAACTGAAGGGAGGTATCAGCACATGTATGGCACTGGCACCCTAGGAAAGCCCCCTGCTACCCAATCTGTCATCCTCCCTGTTCCCTTCCTCTTCGAAAGCCACTGAAGTACTTTGTGCAATTACACCTTTACTATCCAAGATGATGGGGTGACCTGATTGTGAAGAAGGGGAAGGATGTGTAGCAGGGAGGGATTCAATAGCTCAGCACTGGTATTACAGAAGGAGGGAGCAGAGATCAGAGGCAAACGGGACATGGAAACGACACAGCTTAGAGGTTTCCATTCCAGGACAGATGCTGCTGGGGAAGGGAAGTGGGATGCACCTGGCCCTGTCCAGCCCCTTTGCCAGCTCTGGGCTAGCTCAGGCTGTTGGGTGCCCTCAGCCCTCACTCAGCTCTGCAGCGAGGGCCATGGTTCTCAGTGCTCTGGCCCAGCAGGGCTGGGTAAGTGTTTGCAGTATCCTCATTTCTTCCAGCAGAGCTCTCTCAGCAGCATGGCAGGATCTGCCAGGGCAATCTCCCTTCACAGCAGTCCCCTGCCTAATCCCATCACAGCACGTCTCATCGGCATCTGACCTAAAGAAGGAGAAAGTGACCCTGTATTCGCAAACGCATGTGGCAAGCTTCATCTTCTCCAGCCTCCTGGGCTGGAACCCAGGATAAAGGCTTCTCCTAATTCACCCTGACAGGAAAGGCTACATTTAGTCAATTAGTTAAATCTTTAAATCTCTCTTTTACTGACAACGCTGGTTAGAGATGAGTGAGTGAGGTCCTGGCAGCTCCCTAGGGAGCATCCCATGCCCAACGCCGCAAGGCACAGGATGATGCTTTCCCCCTGCACTCCTTGCAGCTTGGCATTGCAGGCAGGGCTAAGCAAAGCTCCCCTTGGACCCTCAGTGCTTCAGAATTAACTGCACAGCAAGGCATGCCTACCCTGAGCAGGCAGAGGGACCAAAGGGCATAGGCATCATCTGAGGGGCATAGGCAGCATGGACCAGTCCTAAGGATGGGGTAAGGAGGGTGCAGTGAAAGGCATGGGTTCATCATTGGTGTCAGCGTAGCTAGAAGCCCATGAAACAGAGAAGGAAGCACTTCTTTAGTCTGTGTTAGTATTTATATGGCAGTACATTGCTCAGGAGAGGTTTTGCTGGGCCAGGGCTGTACAAACAGTGCAAGCTCCAGGTGGCTTTATAATGTAAACAGGAAAAAAAGAATGGTTAGATAGAGATCTGTCTGCTCTGCCGCACATGGGCAGTCAAGGCACAGAGAGATACAGGTCCGGGGCTGATGGAGCCTTTGAGAACCTGCTCACCAAAGCTACCTGGACATGGATATGCAACTCAAAGGCATTGCCATGCCCATCTCGAAGCAGCTCACCCAGGGAGCGACAGCACAGATAATGTGCCCAGGCAGTCGCACTGCAGCACAAGACTAAGCGTCATCTCTCATTGCTACCTAACACATGAATTCAAGCTCCAGGCTTTGCAACTCATGTTTATTGAGGCAAGAGATAGACCCTGCTGCTGGAGCAGACAACATTCCTGCAGAGCAGACCTAAATACTCAATAGGGTGTTTCCACAAAGCAGCACCACATTCCCCCCCCTATTTAAACAGATACTCAGAGCTCAAAGATGGAAAGTAACCAGCCTCTGAACAGCAGAAGCAGCAGCATGAAGAAGTGGTCAGCAGCTCCTTTCCAGAAACCTAAAGCTTCTTCCTTACCCCTATACAAATATCAATCCAAACACTGATATTTCACAGTCTGGCCAAACAAAAAGCAAACAGATGCCCTGACTGGAGCTGAAAGGAGACACCACTGGCCACAGATCTGCAGCCAGCTTTTCACTTTTCCTGCTTTTCCAGCCAATTAGAAAGATCCCTGGGAGCAAAACCTCTGCTTTTCCCCCCATGAACAACTTTTCAGCTGGGCCTGGAAAAAGCAACTACTTTCAGGTTTGCTCAGATAACACCACTCTATGGATCCCTAGCACTGATGGATTCCTGCAGTCAGTGATGCTGTGAAGCGTCGTACCCATGTGGCAGAGACACAAAGCAGCACCTTATCTGCTCTTTGCAGGCTTCACCTGGGCCACGGTTAATGCAGGAGCTTGATGAATGAATGCTGGAAGACAGAAATGTGCTTTGGGATTTGAAAAGCTCCTTTGAGTCGCCCGAGCCAGTGCCCAGGGAGAGGGTGAAATACCAGAGGTATTGGCACACTTTAAGTGGAACAGGGCAAGATGAGCCACTTTGCAGCAGGTTTTCAGGTGCAGCTTTAGGATCTGAGCTGCAAAGTCACTGAGCCAGTTGATATTTAACCTTTAGCAGAGATTCCCAGTCAATACCTGGGCTTTTTGCCATCTCTGTCCTCAACAGAGATGCTGAAGACCACAGATTAACAGAAATGTGCTTTTGCATTTACATGAGATGGGGTGAGGGATGTGCTGAATCAGCTGCCTCCAAATGTAGACATTGATTTGGTTAAATAATTAGGTTTAAACATGTGCAGAGCTGTCACTAGCTGAATGTTAAGCACATGTCTAAGTGCTACACTGGGTGCAGTTGAAGGGAAAGAAGCCTGCGCTCACATGTCCAAGTTTCTTGTCCTTAGGGAAGAGGAGAGGGGAAACCACATTAGTGGAAGATTGTTCAGTATCAGTTTGATGGGCTAAGCAAAGGCTTGGGAAGGAATAATAGCTCTGTAATGACTAAAAAGAAGGTTAAGGAATTTTCTACTTATATCTCGACAGTACTAAAGCTATCACAACATAAATACAGGCCCCCAAAAGTCTCCATTGTTCCCTACAATCGAAACCATATTTGCTCTTTACGTCTCCTTCAAAAGCAAAATGACTTTACTGAAGTATCCACAAACACAGCTCATGGAATCCACAAACATCTGGCAGGGGCTGCATTCATGTTTCCACTCTGAATTGAATCACATCCCTTTTGTAAGCTAGGGTAGACAGAGGGTAATGGCTGAAGTTACAATCGGGGATCATTTCCCTATTCCGAGTAAAGCGAGAGCTGGAATAGCAGGACAAACTGAGCAGACAAAGGATACTATGTGCCTGGAATATCTACTGAGTGCCTGGAATACCATCTAAGAGTATGAAGAGAAGGAAAACGTGAGAGGCACACAGACCAGAAACCCTCCGGTCAGGAGGTCTGCTGGTCCTTACAATACCAACTTGCCCACATCGTACTCACTGGAATCTGTAGGATTTCAGAGCAAAACCCAAGTTCCTCCTCTCTGCTGAGGATCTTAGAAAGGATGTGTTTGTCTGGGAAATTCTGTATGGATTATATCACTGCAGTGCTCAAATGCACCAGATCTCTGCCATGCCACAGTCCAACAGCACACGTTGAGGGCAGGAGCAGTGCAGGGCACCAGCAGCAGATCCAGATGCTCAGTCCCTGTGTGGGTTATCCCTCTATGACACCTGCGTCCTTAGGGCAGGATAAAGACCACAATGCACCCTCTTCCCCAGGCACCATCCCCTGTTCTACCTTGATGCTCTGCACTTCCTGGGGTGGCCTTTTTGCCAGCCAGGGTAGAGCCACTGCTGCATTTCCAGGGCTGGGATGCACTTTGAAGTCTGGGCTTCCTCAGTGGAGGAATGTCCAGGAGAAGCCATTGGCACAGGGTCTGCCAGACTCCACATCTGGACAGGAAATGCAACCCAAGGCCATGGAGATGAGCATCTCTACCTTGTGGTACGTCATATTGAGGATGGACAGTGCGGGTGGCAGTTGGTGTCCCGAGGTTTGGTACCCTCTATCAGGATCTAGCTACACCTGGAGGCAGGTCCCTGCCAACCTCCTTTCTTAGGAGCTGAATCCAGATTTGCTCTTGGCTTTACCTTGTGTGATGATAAATATCCCCTTTCCTATTCCTAACAGTACAAGTGGTGTTGAAAACAGCCTGGTCAGCTGTACTTTCCTTGTGGGTTGAGGACTTCAGGCCAGCACAGAGGTAAGAAGCCAAAGAAGGTTTATGCAAGTGAATCCTTCACAATCTAAGAGCCAAACACCCCACACTTGGGACGACTCTGCCACCACGTATGTGAAAAGCGCTGGTATAAATCCCTCATCTGCCAGATTTAACAGCAGCCTGGATTCATTCAGAAGGTGTTTCCCATTCAGCTCTGCACCACAGCTTTACCTTGAGATACTTTCTGCCATCCATTCCAAGCCTCCCATGAAAGAACACCTCTGGTTTCCCATCCATCATGATCACGGATGCCCTGGACAGCTCTGTTAATCACTGCTGCATAGCACAGAGAAACCTTGCTCCCTGGGGACCCTTCAATAGCACAGCTATGGAATGAGATCCATGGGCCTTCCCATCAAGGAGAATAGAGTCAAGGAACCTGTTTTTCCCAGCCACAAGTTGAAAGCTGAACCCTGATATGCATCTGCAGGGCTTGATGTTAGTGGTGTCCTTCTAGCTGTCTTCTAAAGCTTAAAGCAGTTCCAGGGTACATAACTCTGTGGTTATAAAGATTTCTAGTTGGTTATTCCATTTCCTTTGGCTGGTCCCAGCTATTCGAGGAGAGTATTAAGTCTCGTGTAGGGAAACACATGCAGTCCTTGGCTGTTCTCAATTCCCCAAGCAGGAATTGCAGTAGAAGCAGAGACTGGGGGTGGGTAAAACATATAGTTTACTCCAGCCTATGCCTTTGAAAATGAAACATGGAAACAGATACCATAAGATCTTTGGAGGAAGAAATGCAAAATATGTTGTTGTTGGGGCCTTCAGCAGAACCCATGTGTGCTGCTATTAATACTTTGTAAAGCAATCGGACAAGGAAAAACGACCCAGAGCAGGGATGCTCCTGCAATAAATGTCCTGTTGAAGAAGAAGAAAGACTGAAGAGCTCAGTGGGACATGGGCTGGATGTCACAGGCAGGAAAACAAGCAGCTTTGGCAGGTTCTAGAGGTCATTCTGCTGTCAGCTGTCACCCAAACAGGGCAGGAAGAACCACACATGAACTGACACAGAGCGCTTGTGGAATACTGATCCAGCGTAACACATACTTGCAGCACTGTCAGGGATGTTGTTTACTACTGCTTCCCAGTGCGAGGCTGGGGTCTGCTCTTTCCAGGCAGAGCAAGGATTCACACATGGTCACAGCTTGGTGCTGCTTAGATATGCACAGACAAAATCAGAGCCTTGTGTTACAGGCTGGAAAAACCCAGAGAAACACACAGGATGTGCTTATAATTTGATGTACTGACAATGCAGAACACACCTTTCTCATAACCCTGTGGAACGCTGCCAGAAGATGTTAATCCTGTGAGACTGAAAGGCGAGATATGGGAAGAGCAGCCTGTTTGGCTCCTTGTCAGCTCCATTTCTACCTGCCTTGTCTCTTTGTTCTATGCCATGGATAACATTTCCTCCTTTACCTGTCTCTGGTTAAATCACAACACTCCACATCTCAGCTGCTCTCTCTCTCATGTCAGCAAAGGCACCTTTGCTGGCCTTTTCCCCCAGCCTAGATACATCCTCAGATGACTAAACCTTCACCATCCTCACCAAAAGAGTCCATAAACCCTGCTTTGACATTGCAGGTGGTTGGAAAAGGCAAGCTGGACGGCTTCCACAATAAACTCTACACTGAGACACCCCTCTGCCCATACACATCACTTGCATTCACATCCCTGATAAGACTTGCTTCAACGACCTCAGTCTTTACACACAGCAGAAACATGGCTGTGGTGGTTCAGCCCCAACTGCTGCTCATCCTCACACCCCCAAACTCATCCACCAGAGCTGGTTATCCAATGGCTAAAAGAGGAGAGGGAGAAGAGCTTGTGGAAAGTGCTTACCCTGCGGCCTTTCATCCCTCTCATCCCTGGTGCACCTCGGACTCCTGCTGGACCCTGGGAAGGGGAGAAGGGAAACAAAATGAAGATGAAGGAGGAGGAAGGCAGTATCTTGGTAAAGCCCCACATCCTGATGTGATCTGCAGGAGCCTCAGATGCAGACCCTTGACCAGCAGGTTGGCTCACGAAACCCTCACCAAAGACATTCCCATATTTGCTTTCCTATTAGTGGTTCTTTTTTAACTCACTGATTGTCTTTGGATCAAGAACATTTAGGCCCAGGATCCTGGCTGGTGTTTGTATACTAAAGTATCTGCAGCCCATTATCTGTTTAAATGGTGAGCGATTTGAAGTGATTTGAAGTTGAACATTTAGAATACCCTCTGAAGCTATTAAAAGCAGCTGTTGCTCAGTATCTGTACAGAAATAATAACAACCAGGATCTGTTTCTCACTTATCCAAATACAGAATCAGACACCTCATCTTATGTATCCAAGCTTGACCTTTTCAGCCAAATACCGATTTTATCCTCAAGCAACTGTTGCCCTCTTAGTGCTGTATAAATATTCATGCTGCCAGATAGATTTGGACTGTTGGTGTTGTGGATGATCCTGTTGTCCTTACACTTACAGAAAAGCTTCAGGTTCTCTTGTAACATGGATTTATGCACATTTCATTCATTAAAGTGCATACAGAAAACAGAAGAAAATGGAACAGCTTTTTTTTTTCTGTTAGAATACTTACCAGTTTCAAAAATTAAGGGATATGAACAATTAACAGGACTTATTTCTGCATTATAACTTAACCCCCCTGTATTTAAAATTAGTGCCTTTCTGCTGTCAGAAAACCTCAAAATGACACATTCCATTCTTACTCTCTCAAACGTTCCACATCAAGTTTTGCTATTTATACATTAATAGCTTTAACCAAATGCCAACACTGCAAACTCCACCAAGGATCAGAACAAAACCAGACTGTGGTCTTCCTACTGCTTGTACCACTGCCACTAGTAAAGGTTTTGCTTTTGGGGTGGGGGTATCTTGCTGCATGGCATGGAAAGGCAGAATACAGATGCTTAGCTGTTCTCTCTCAAGTTAGTTGACTGTAACTCCATTTGTAATCACAGTAAATCTCGGTTTTGCTCATGAGGTCAGTAGTGACTGGCACAGACAAGCAGTAGATGTGTCAGATGCCTGCTTTAAATAGAGATTTTTTTGTGATAAACATACTGAAACGATATTTCAGTTGGTGTCTGGAATATCCTCCTGGAAGCGTCAGCCTATCCAGAAGAGCTTATGAAAATACAAGCACAGATACATTCATTGTGAAGGCAAAGTGGGGAGGGGAAGACTAGACAGCATGCTGAGAACGGCAAGGAACTGCTTAGGAGAAGATGAGTGCCTATGTATTAAAACTGTGTATTAACACAAAAGATACACCATGATGGTGAGCCAGAAGAGGGAAAAAGAATCCACAAGGCTCAGTGAGCTGTAATCAAGGAGTTTCCTATCATTGACTATACCTTTGCTTCCCATTCCCAATCAACCTCTACTGAATGAATCAGCCATCAAAGCTTCTAAGGCTTAATCTCAAAGGTTTTAACAGTTTAGGACAAACAACAACAGCATAGCTCAGGTCTACCTTGAAAAACAAGCAACGAATGGTGGAGAAACAGGCGGAAACAGCTGGAATTAATGAGAGGGGATGTGATATTAGGGGATTATTTGATTTACTGGCTTTGTGGGGAAGTTGGACTCAAGTGAATTATGGCTTTTGAAAATACAGCCTTGGAGGAAACATTTTGCTTGGATGAACTTGTTATTTGCCTGCAGGAGAACAGGGAACTGAAGGAAATGGAAGGACCTGGGGACAGCCTCAGCATCCAAAGCTCTGCAGAGGTTTCAGCATCTCCAGTCAGAGCTGATGCCTCAACTCTGCTGTCATCGTCCCCCAGTAAGACAGACAAAACTCACTGTCAGCTAAAGGTACTAGCAGTGCATTAGGCAGTGCTTCAGGAGAGGAGCTCTTTGCCCCAGAACCAGTGCAGAGCCCACCTCGGCAAGGATGCACTCCTGTCCTCCCCCATGATAACAGGCATGGAGCAAGCAGCTAATGTGCTGGGAAAGCTGCTACAAAAGGGACATCTGGAGATATCCATCTGCCTCCCAGACTTCTGTCAGCAGCAACTGCTGCCATGAGGTGCTATGGAGCAGCTCATCGCTGGGGGCTGCAGGCAACGTCACGCCACATTGCTGCTCTGCAGCTAGGGATGGGTCACCCCGAGGTATTGCTTGACCTCAGACCTTTTGTTTCCTTCACCTCCATTGACTTGCAAGTGTGAAATCTCACCCCAGGCAGCAACTGGCTGCAGCTGGTGGTCCCAGAGCATCCCAGAGCATCCCCATATCAGGCAGAGCTGCTGATCCGGAGGCCAAACCTTTGGCACTGCCTGGGCATTTCATGACTTGATCTTCATCCCAGCTAACAACACTGTGGGAATTCACACAGTGAGCAAAATCCATTCCCTGTGCCCACCCAGAGCTGCTGGCTCCAGTTCCATCTGTGCTGCTGGGAGAGCTGGAGCTCCATCTGAGCAACGGCTGTGGGAAACTGGAGCCATGCTAACATCGACCTCCACACCAATTGCACGCTCCAGCCGCAGCACATGGACCAGATGAGCCCGTCCAGATGGAGGGTGCATATGGGGGCAGCTGCTCCTCTCACTCCAGTGAGGGTCTCTGAGGATGCACAGTGCATCCTCAGCGGGATACAGCTGCTGTATCACAAGATGTGGTCACCATCCTGCCAAGGATTCCCAGCCTTGTAATAATACCTTGAGCTAGTGAGCTCCTGTTCTGAGGCTGGATTGTGAGTTTTGGATGTCCCATTAGAGAAATGGGCTACAAAAGTTCTAATTAAACCCCTCTTTTCTTCTTAGCATCTCTTCCCATGTTGCTCCCACGCATGCCCCATCCATTTCCACATCTCTCGTGTCAAACTCAAACCAACTGGTACATAATTGCTTGACCCACACTGTGAATGCCCAGGATAAGGGATGCTGTGTAGCATTACAAGGTGTGATAACCTTTACTTACTGTTGGTCCAGGGATCCCAGGAAACCCCACTCCTCCTGGTGTTCCAGGGTGCCCCTAGAAGGGAAGGAAGAAGAGCATGTCTGCTGTGAATGCTCAGCCCTTCTTCCTCCAAGTGGGAAGACAGGAAAAAAGGCATTGTTGGTTGCTTGCAAGGGCAGGCAGGTCTGTTATTTCCCAAGGTAATATTGCTCAGGGGTAGATGAAGCAGGCCAGACTGTCAAAAGCCCATCTCTGACTTTGCTAGCCACATAAGCAGATAGATTATCTGAACAGCCCAGAAGAGAATGGGCTGAATTAACATGACATTCTGTCTTTGGGCCTTGCACTAGGGTAGATGGGAGATGGTCTTGCTGAGGTCCCCTCTGTTAAACTCTCTAAATAGAACTTCATATAGCACTGTGCATAAGCAATCCTGCAGCTCTAGCTGCCCCTGGCAACAGTGTGGGATGTGAACAACAGATCCCTGCTCCCTGTCTGTTCAGTAGCCAGGATGCTTGAAGACAAGCAATCCTTCAGGTGCTGTAGCTTGCAGTTCCTGGTTATCTCTACTTGGCACAACAGGTCTCCAGCTGATGGAGCTGCAGAGCATGTCAAAACCCAGTGTTTCTCTGAAGGGAAGACTGCTGAACACAGCTGCTCAATACCCAGGCCAATGGACATTCCCATCCCCAGAGACAGGAAGAATCTGTTGTCATGGAAGTAGGAGACCAGGAGAAGCTGCATCCTTCGCTAGGACAGAGAGAAAGAGGCAGCAGCAGGAGCGAGAGAATGCAGACTTACTCCTTACCATCGACCCCTTGATTCCTGGAGGGCCTGGGGGTCCCACTGAGCCACGGTCACCCTGGGGAGACACAGATACATGGGGAAGAGTGAGGGCTTTTGCTGACAAGCACACTGAGCTGGCAGCAACAGGGATTTGGAGCAATGAAACAACTGAAACACCCACAAATTGCCATCAGATTTCTACCAGAAAGGCTTCCAGTGCAGAATAATCATCACCCGCTTTCATGCATCCATCTCATTGAGGAGTTGAAGGATTTCAGCAAGAATTAGCTAATCCTCCATGTCCCATAAGAGGGGACTTTGTTATTGCCATCAAACCATTGAGGGACAAGAAACAAGCAATGCACACAAGACCACCTTCTACTCAGGGTAGTGCTAGGACTGGATCCCAGGAGATCTCCATCTCCTCCCACCTAAGGCATGACATCCCTCTCTGTTCTGCAGTATCATAACCCCTACATGTCCTGGTGTGTTTAGAGGCATGGATTTGAAAGCTGTGGTTATGAAACCCTGCTGAGAGCAGGGAATCAAGTTGGGAAACACCTGAGATCCTGCCTGGAACAGAGGGCTGGTGCTTCCAGGAGGAGACTGTAGGTGCTCTGGGGGAACTCCCTATCCTGTGGTTCATCCTGGGGCCACAGTGCAAACAGCAACAATCTGGAGACCTTCATTTATGTTCAGAGCTCCACAGCCCACCCTGACAACACAACCCCTTTTAAAACAAACCACTGTTGGCCATTAAAGAACTTAACATCATTCCAAAAGCCTTCCTTATCCCCACATCTCACTTCCCATGAGTACACCCCTGGTCCTACAGCTCAGCCAAGGGGTGTAAACCTCAATGAGCACCTCTGTGCCCCATTGACACAAGGGCAAGTTGAAGGGTTTGCTGATGGGACATCAACTACTCCTTTCTGGAGACAGTGGCAATTAACCACCACGACTGCCTCTGCTATGCCTCTCAGCCCCAGTAATGCACTGGGAATTAGGTGTGTTATGTTTGTGTGCTTGGGGGGATGAGGAAGGAGAGGTTAGCAAACGCTGCCAAGTAGTTTACGCCCAGAGTCTGACCTACCTTCCAACAGCTAAAGGGTAAGGGGGAATATTTCCTGGCCTCTAAGCAGCTTATTAAAAGCAAACCCCAGAGTTGGTGTTGTCACCAGTTGGCCCTTGTAAACCAATATAAGGATTTCCTCCCCCTGAATGCATGGATTTTATTAAGTAAGTATTAACTGTATTGTTCTCTTTGATAATCTTTGGATTCTACTGGCTTCAGGCTGAAGTTTTGCAGCTCTTGGGACAGAGATTGCTGACTCAGCTATGTCTAATGAAAGCATATTTCCCACTTCATTTAGCTCACAACAGCATAGTAAGCTGTAGGATGCTATGCCAACTGGAGGCCTGGTTGAGGTTTTGGTGATAGTTATTTCTGTCATCTTTAAGCTTGTCCTGGTAGAGAAGTCTGATTGAAATCACAGCCATGCTGAGGATTTCCTAGGGCAGATTCCAAAAGGACAGCCCGGGTTTGCCTTGACCCTAATGTAACATCACCATGTCATCAATCTGCAAGATGAGGATTGCTCATGTGGTCAAGGCATTGGCACAGAAGTCATAGGGCCAGTTGTTAATTTACTGGAGTGGGGAAAAACATCTTCCCATGTCTCCTGCATTGTAAATCCCTTATTCCTCATTCAATTCAGGGCTGCAGTTGTCACTGAGACAGCTCACTCAGGCTCTGATTTAATGTGGAACCACCTTGGACACATCACAGCCTCCTTATTCTTCTTTTTCCCTTCAGTAAAACGCAGCTCACATCATGCCATTCCTTTTTGTTCTTGTGTGCCTTGGACCGAGCCTGCTTCTCTGCCCCACCAGAGAGCATCTCGTGTAACGGGCTTTCCAAAGCCTGCTGCAGACAGGCCATAAAACGCAGCACAACTGTCACAGAGCCTTTACATCATTACCCAGAGGACAGGGCTTGAAGTAATAGAAGTGAGAGAGAGGGAATGGATGTGTGGGATGCATCGTTTTATGTTCTTTACTATCTTTACGGCTGGACTGTGAATAATTAAACCACCGATGAAACCCAGCAGTCGGCAACTGAGATACAAGGAATGACAAAGATGATTTGTCTTTGGAAGCTACCCCTGAACAGGATTTTACACACTAGTAGAAAACAAATTAATACCCCATTTACATTTTTATGGGAAGTAAAGGCGTTTTTCTTCCTGAAAGCAGCATGCATCTGTGCTGCACACAAGAGGGCACCAGCCCTTAGGACCGTGCCCAATACAAGGGGCAGCCAGACAGGATGGTTCTCATCAAAGATAAAGGGAAGGATTTGGACTGGCCTTTGCTCAAATGGGCAGCTGCACTCTGGTACCTGAGGAATTGCTGAGACCTCAATGCAGGCTCGGCCCTGGTCCTGTGTGACCCCTTTGGCAACTCAGCATGGGCTTGTGAGCACAAACGGTATAACATAACCTCCTTGGATTCCTCCCTTGACCAGGAACGCAGGGCTGGTGGGTCCCTTATTCCCAGCAAAGCCAGAACTGTCAAACACAAGCTTTGTGGCAGGTTATGAATCAATAAAACTTAGCTTTTCAGAGAACATCTGACAGCATCACCTTGGAGAAGATGCAAAGCGGATGCTTTTTACCTGGCCCAAGACTACCTCAACCACCCTGCATGTGCTGCACTCCCAGCTGGGTGTTGCATTGACACAATATTCTTCCCACCCCAGTCTCCATCAAAAGCTACAACCACCAATTCATTGCAAACAGCCTTACCTTTTCTCCCACTATTCCAGGCTCCCCTACGGGACCAATGAACCCCATTAGACCCTGAGGAAAGAGAAAAGCACAATTAAACTTTCAGTTTTATGTGCTGAGAAAGTAAACAGTTCCTTTGGTTCCACCTTTGCTGGTTGAAATAGCACAGCATCCCTCATATAATGCTCAGTAATTCCTACTGGCTACCAGAGCGGACAGAGTTGCTCCCGGCCATGGGAACGTCTAAGTCCACAGCTGGTTCTGCTTTAGGCGCCAGCTGGAACGGCAGCACTCGGATCTGCAGGAACCACAACACACAGCACAGGGGATGAGTTGAGCACGTTCCACAGAAAGGCCGACTCCATCGTGTGGCTTTGTTTTCCCAGCATCCCCCAAAACGTCAGTGCAACTTCTCCAAGAGCATCCATAGCGGGAGCTCCTGGGTTGCACAGTCTGAGAGCTGCTGTCCTTCCAACTGTACTGGGAAAGACTTCCTCTGGGTTAATCTGAGCTGCCTCAAGCCCTTGTTCAGACTGGTTTTGCCCTGGGTAGTGTCGTGCTGTTGGGATATCAGTAGGGAATAAAGGTGTGAGGACACCAGCAGAGCAGCAGATCTAACACGCTGCTCAAACTACCTTGGGAAAAGAACGCACCAGTCTAAGCTCAGGATTTGTCAGGGTTTAACAGTGTTTGGGATAAAGAAGAAACAAACACAACTGCCTTTAATTAGGAAGATGGAAACAGACACAATCTCAAGCTAAGATTCCTGAGAATTAAAACGCAGCAGCTTCCCCATTGGCTTCAGCAGGTTTCTGGCTCTAGAGATGTAAGAGACCACCTCTCTGCCACGGTATATGTTTTCTTTGCATGACTCTCATGGTCTCATCCCTAGTCCTAGCAAGGGTCATTGGGAGATAGATATTTAGTTCCTCCTATGAGCTTCTAACTAACAGGATTCATCTCGTACTGAAACACTGCATAACCTGCCCATTTTTGGCACAGGTGGTATCAAATAAGACCATCACCCAGCTTGTTTGATTTCGGTCAACAATGTGGCTGGTACTGGGAGGTGGCTGCTGAGCAAGTGAGAGGCAGGAGATGGATTCTCCAGTGGTATTGTCCTACCCTTCCTCCCTTTTAGAATAACTTGAAATCTTCATAATAAATTGACAAGTTCCTCTATGCAACTGCATCTCAGCTTTTCATTTCAGCATCAGGGAGGTTTTCAAGTGACACACTCAAGACAGCATTCACCATGAACCAGCACAACTGGGGAATAAGCTGCATGAGCAAGGCAACTTCTGGGGTCAGAAAAGGGAGTGCTTTTCACCCTGATGTCTCCTTTCTTGGGTAACAGCAAGAAAAGGAGCAAAACGTTTCCTGTCTGTACTCCTGGTTCATTTCTTATCCATTCTCAGCTGGGCTGATGTGCGTGAAGCTCACAGGAGCTCTCTGCAGCCTATGCATCGCTGTGGTTGTGTTGCCATCTGTGCGTTGACAGGGTGAAGTGATACCGTCCAGCTACAGAGGAGGATCTGGCACCAAGAGAGCAGCCTACTCACAGGCTGTGCAACTCCTCCTGCCACCAAAAGCTCTCTCTGTCCATGAAGTTACACTCACAACATAAAGCTGCAGCACAAAATAACCAGCCTCGTTGCAATGCTCCTATACGTGTGAAGCTCATCGGACCCGTTCAGAGACATATAGCACGACGCAGGTCACTCTCCAATGACTTTTAGAGGGAATGGCTTCTGATGGTGACTCCAGACACTGAGAGACTTCATGCATGAACATTCTTCACATGGTGCAATTAAACATCAGCCTTTGAACGTCACTGGAGACAGGAGCTCCTCAGTGAGGCGTGCTGATGGGCTCAACAAAAGCATCTCTCACACGGATGCTCAGCAGGCTTCGCCTCTTGTAGGAGCAGCCACACTCTGAGCTCAGCACAGCCCTTGTCACACTCTGTATGGGAGCAACATCCAGATGGAAAGCGCTTGGAAAAGCTCATGAGAGAAGGCAGAGAGCTCAGCAGGAACGTCAGAGCCTGGAGTTAGCTGCTTGAGTTAGAAATTCATCCAGACATGATGCCCTAAGAAACCAGCATGTCACTGTGCCGTGATGGAAACGATTAACACGGGAAGACAGCTACCACCAGGAAATCTCTGCTATCCCATCAGGGCTTGATGGCACCAACCCTTCTGACATCAGCACTGGAATGGTTTCTACTGTGTGTGAAGCTGAAGCAGTCCCAGTGCACAGTGTGCCATTGCAGCCAGACTGCACGGACAAGATGCCTGTGGCAGCACGGTGGCCTGGGCTCAGCAGCAGGCTGCCCAATGCAGGAACCAAAGGGAGAACTGGCAAATTCACAGTATCTGCGTATGCAAGGTTGCCACTGGGTGGCATTGCTGAAGGCTGCTGCATCAATTATCCTTTCAATTAGACATAAGATACATAACTATCCAGTTACTGATGTTTTCCACAAAGAAGGCAAATGTTAAGGCAGAGGAGAGAGTGGCAAAGCAATGAGGTGAAACAAGGAAACACATTGCTAGGTAAAAATAAGATATTAAAGAATAAATCTGTTCCTTCATTTCCAGCTTATCAGAAAACCTGCACAACTCTCTCCTTGGGAAGATGCTCTCTAAGATATTTCTGGGTTACTTGGTTCAGTCCCTGGAGAAGAAGGCAGATCCATGCTCTTGCAGCAAATGTCACCATTCAGAACAAGACCGTTTCAAGCACACAGTGCATATCCAGACTCAGGCTTGACAAGTAATCTGTTCACAGCAGCATCAGCTCCAAGCCTAAACCATCCCTAAGGAATCTAAGACGTCCTGGTTGTGCTTCGCAGACAACTCAGTGAGGTCTGCAGATGGTTTGCAGAGCACTGGTTGCAGCAGGACAAGCAACCCACAAACCCAACACCCTCCTGAGACCCCTCTCGCTGTCACACAAGTGCCATTCGCAATCACAGCTTGTGCAGAAACCCATCAGTGCCAGCACAAGCTGGGTAGAGGCAAACATGCACCTGAGACACGGATAAGCGTCAGGATGGAAGGGGAGCACAGCTGCATTCCTGGCTTGGTTTTCACTCCAAAACGAGGGAAAATGCTGTCTGCACTGGTACATCATGTTTCTGCTCAAGGGAAGGTGTCATTGATGTACCCAGCAAGAGGAACTTCCATAACAGAGTAGGGACCAAAGTGATACAGCAGAGCTGGGACCCTGTGACGTGGCCAGGCATTCAGCACGGTAGCTCTGTAGCGTCTGCAGCCAATACTGTCTGCCCTGGGCTAAATGAACTAACATTGCTGTGTCTGCAAGCAGACACAAATTGAGATAGATACGTCCAGGCAAAATAAATCTCAGTAAATTACTTGGAGTATATGAAACAACTGGAGGAGATTGGGCAATGGTATTCTTCACTGGCCAAAATGGGATAGACACTAAAGGGAATACAAGCAGCAAAAGATTTAGGTTTTAAGAACCAGAAAAGCCACTGGTGGCAAATATTACACGGAAACAGGCATGAATTGTGGCCATTAGACTAAAATGGCTGCAGCATAACATACTTGTCCCAGGTTCCCAGGGTAGAAAAGAAGCCCTGCATCGAACACGACTCCAGGCAGTGTGTGTAATGATGCACGTGAAGTCCCAGCAGCGGTGGCTGCCCTGCTAAAGGCCCACAGTGTACAGGAAAGAATGTAAAACATTTATATTAGACAAGGAGTTCAGCATGTCGCTCGTGATTCAGTCTGCTCTATTCCCCAGCCAAGGGCATGGTGGAAAAGGGATGGAGATTGTTAAATAGCTGCTGGGGGCTTGGAGGAAAGGAAAAGGGGGGGACTGGTGGGTTGTAATTCCGAACTCCTGTCTGGCTTTCCCCATTTATTATCCAGCCCTGTCATAATTAAGCCCCCCCCCCCTTCCCCGTCTTGGCTGCATCAACAGAGAGCAAGTCAGCAATGAAGCCTTGCATAAATCATAGCCCATTTGAGAGCAGCAACCGAAAGGCGAGCCCAGCGTGAGCAGGGTCTCCCAGGGACGGGACCGCCAGTCGCTCCCAGCAGGAAGTGATCATGGCCCTTTCTGTGTTACTGGTTCGCTAGAACTCAAAACAAAACAAACCAGGGACAAAGGCCGGGAGGGAGTAAATGTACAATCCTCCCATTCAGATGAAAGAAAGGGAAAGTAAAACAGTAAATATCACAGTTTAAGGGAGGATGCTCTGACCCGCAAAGAAACCCAAGGGGTTTAACCCACTCTGTGCCAGGCTCAGAACTGATGTGGGGCCATCTTGGAGTGAGACATGCTGACAAAACACCTCGCCACAGCAAAGAGGCTGCATTCACTACGGTGCCCATAAATCACTGAATGAGAGGCTGGTGTCAGGAAGATGCTCTGGAGGAGAAGGTAAATGCATTGGGATAGGTGCTGCTCTAATTGGGAAACATTGGTGCAATTCCTTGTTTGGTTCTTGGTGATCCATTTGAACTTGGTCAAGTCAATCTGCGTCTCCACATGTCAGAGCCCAGTTGTAAAGCTGACATTGCAGTACATGCCTCCTTTGTAAGAGCAGTGCAAGGAAAACACATTAAGGAGGTAAACGATGGTGCTGGTTTCCTTTAACATATTGTTTTAGACTATATTTGATATTGGGACAACATGCCTCCCCTTCAAAGGAAGAGACACCCATGCAGTGAGTGCCTTTCCCAGCACGGTGTGATGGGTGCATGGCTGACCCTAACATTGCCATGCAGGACTGACACTTCTTGTATAGGAGGAGGGATTGAAAAAGCTGTTCCTGGTATTCCAGGTATATATTATTTATATATATATATATATGGATATGGATATATATTCCCTTTCCCATTAAGGACGTAGGTCAACTGTAGCCTCAGTCACAGCTCTTCATTGGTGTTTTCATCTCTAGTGCAGCACAGGGGGGTCCATGGGCCCCCTTCCCACTTTGCTGTCCTGCCTGTTGTAGGGTGCTGCTTCTCCCACAGGGCTCTCTGACCATCAGCACGGACATCCTGGTGCCATCCTCCTGCATTCCCAGCTCTGGACCAGGGAGGTTGGTGGCCTGGACCAGATGCTCTGTATTCTTCATATTCTTCTGCCTCCATCTACTGGCAAGGAAGGGTTAAATCACGCTTTTCCAGGGTACAGGGGAGCCCAGCAGCTGGAGTCCTTCCAGCATATGGAGACAACAAGCATCTTATGAATGAACTTCCTGAGTCAGTGTCCTTGCAATGGAAAAGAAACACATCAGGGACTGCCTTAATGTGGCTTAAACCCCCATTTTTCCAATGAGAGCTCAAGTGTCACTGGAAACCTTTCAGAAACTCTCATGTTTGCCTAAATAGATGTCCCTAAGAAAGGGAAGAGAGCTCCAATGAGATGGATGCTGATGGTTTATCGTGTTGTTAATGCTGAAGGTTTCCGGTCAGATGGAACCCATACGAAGGGCAGCACATCTGGAGCTTGACCACTTTTATTGTGCCCATGGAATAGGGAACACCAAGACCTCCACAAGGGAAAACAGGGATGAGGTGAAAGTGCCTTTTAGTGCCAAGTGACCTGGGTAGCCCCACCTCTCAGAGCCCTGCAGAAAACCAACCCAGCCCCAACAGCAAACACTGAAGCTTAGGGTGGAGGGAGGACTGAAACCCCAACACTCCAGCCCTGTTCAGAGAAGGTGTGATGGGGAAGGAGGCTATTTCTCACTAATGTGGTGTGACATTTCTGTTCTAATGACTTGACTGGTGCGGAAATGGAAACTCTTTCTGTGTGATATTTCGAGACAGAGACTAATTGAGTAAGAATAATACAGGCAGCTTTCATACCCCTGTGCTGGTCTCGGTGCTGGCGAAGGCCAGCTGTGTTTTCCTTTGGGTGAGCAGTGCCTACAGTTTTCATCCAAGGTCAGTCCTGCGGGACGTTAAAGACTAATGCTGCTAATGATGCTTTGTCCTTGGAGCACAACCTCTTATTCAGGCTCTCCAAACACTTCTAAGTGTTTGCTTTGCACTGTAACACAGCAGCATCCACCTGAAAACAGGAGGTGCTGTGCAAAGCACTGCTCAGAGCTGTATCATGCCTTCTGCAGATGGGGAAACTGAGGCACAGGGCACTGGTAGGTGTTGCCTGAGGTTGTACAGACTCTGACAGAGCTGCAGATAAAGCTGAACTGATAAATCTGATAGATGTGTGGAACAGCTTTGCTTCTTCAGTTGTTCATGGAGTAAATTATTAACCATCATATAGGAACAGCTCTAATTTTCAGATAGAAATAACTATCTTTGACATAGACTGCAACGCATCAGATTGATGGTGTTTGAAAAGGATCCACTTCGGGTTTTGGGCTTGCTTGCTCAGAAACCCATGGGTGAAGCAACCCCCAGCTGTTGCATAGAGGGAAAAGAAGAGCCAGAAAGACTGGGGCAAGCTAAACCAATCCAACCCAACCCAAACCTGTTGACCATCCACAGAGAAAGCGTTGGGAGCACAGCTGTGCTGGGAAGCAAAACCCTCTTTGACCGCTCCAGCCAGCTTAGTATGGCCATGTAGGAACACAGAGAACATGTTGGAGGCTCTGTGGCTGCTGTTTCCTTGATGCCTGTGGTTCATCTGAAGCCTACAGGGATGATGCATGTCCCCTGCTACCCCAGCAGGATGCTCTCTCTTCCATACAATGAAATGCTGCTCAGTGCCTCTCTTCCTCAGGGTCTGGTTTCTCCAGCTGCGATCTCTTTTGCTCTGAGAAGCAATGTCAAAGCACTGGAGCACTCAAAGCAGAGGATGCCATTTTAGGCATAGGAGGAATACACAGAAATCCACAATCTCTTTCATGACCATTTCTTTGCCTCCTGGAGAAGTACAACTGCTTATATGGGCTGTACTGCTGCCAGTACTGACAGCACATCCACCTGAGCTGTGGCTTTATCACCCCGCTTATGGGAAACCCTCCAGTTTAAAGCAGACATGATGGTTACTGTCAATGCTGTTCACCAAGAGCTTCACACAGACCAAGAACACTCCACTGGAGCACCAGGACCATAGACAGGTTTGAGGTAACAAGAAACCCCTGTCTACTGTCCCCTCTGGTCATCTGGGAGACATTGTACATGGGAGATTGGCAAACAGACAAGGAACACAAGGAGTTTACCTGCTCACCAACCTTCCCTGGTCGGCCACGGTTTCCTGGCTCACCCTGCAGGACAAGGAGAGACAAGGCACACAGGTTACTTGGTGCAGACCCTCAGCAGCACAACGTGGTTCTTGGTACACCTTTAGTTTTGCTGCTGTGTGTGAATCGTGGGACACCTGCAGGAAACAACACCTTACAAATCCAGCTGTGATCTAAGGATAACCCAGAGCAAGAAGCATTTACTGCTCTGGAGTGAAATACCCTAAAAGCAGCAGGTCCTGCTGTGGCACAGCAGCCTTCACTCAAAACATAAGCTCAGACATTGAGGCATAAGGTGTCTCCTTCCCTGTGGCACAGCCTGGTGGCTTTATCCAAAGTATTCCCAAGCAATCCTGCTCTTGATAAATCTCAACCATAGGCACATTACATGGAGCATCCACATGAAAACCACAGGAAGAACCTACACGAGATAAATCACAGTGCAGGATGGGAGAAATTCAGGGAATGGGAAAAATGAGGGTGAAGAGAAAACCAGGAAGAGGGAGAAGAATTCCAAACCCACCAGGGATAAGAGCACTTGAAGACCATTGGAGTGCCCCTGGACAGGCCACCCAGAGGCCAGGCTCAGCACTGAGCAGCGTTGTCTCTGGGTGATGGCAGCTGTATTTTCTCAGTAGGCAGGTACTCCAGATGTGCTGCCAGACCACATCTGTGCTATTGAGTGTTTGCTGAGGTTGTTTTTGTTGGGTTTTCTCTTTCCTTTCGAGTGTGGGGTTGTGGAGTGACTGCCCTGGGATGGCTCCAGGCAGCAAGGATAGGAATGGTGTGTACTGAGAACAAAAACATGGAGCAGCAATGGAAAATAAGATGGGATGGTGGAGTTGGTTAATATCAAAGGAGGAACACACTTGTTTATAATAAAGCACATGGCTTAAAATGCACCATCGTTCCTTTTGCTGAAGAAACCAAGCAGAAACCGAGACCCCAAAATCTGAGGGAAATCCTCAGTTCCTCTTGTCCTTTCTGGAATGAAAATCCTAAGCTTGGAGCATGGCAAAGGTGAGAAAAGGCATTTCCCTTTTCCTTTCCTCCCTTCCACCTGCTGCTTCCCCAGTCACAAACAAACTCCTTCCTCACCTTTGGACCATCAGGACCAGGTCTCCCTGGGAATCCCTTCCGGCCTGATCGACCCTGAAATACATGGAAAACCAATGAATATCAAAGGCTTGCAGCTGCCCTGGGTCGCAGCAGTGTGCCTGTGTATGCTCCCAAAGCACCCTGTGAATCAAAGGTGCTGGAGATGCAGCAGCCCAAGGCAACACAGGAGGAAAGCACATTCTCTCACTGGTCTTTTTAGTTGCTTTCCCTCCACTTGTTGAAAAGCACTGTGAGTCAAGGAAGGAACATCAGGGCTTGTTACAGAGATGGTTTCCAGTCAATGTGCTTGATTTTGAGGATAAGCTCTTTAAATATTAGAGGAATTTTCACAATCTGAGATTTCAAGAAAGTTATAGAGTCCCATTCAACACCCTGTGTGCAAGGCACTTCCTTGACTTGAACCATCCTGCATCAAGCAGTCAAACTAAGCTCTGGACAAGACAATATTTCTTAAGGGCAAATCATTCCCCAAACCAAGCAATTTGAAGCTCTATGTTAATTTAACTACAATTGCATCAGTTAGTTGATAGTAACTGAATAAACCACTGAAACCTACCTCTGGACCAGGGACTCCCGGTGGTCCTAAGGGTCCTTCATCTCCCTGAGGTGACAAGAGATGAAAATCAAAGGCAAAGCAGTGACAAAATCTGTATTTACCATGCAGCAAGAACGAAAGGTCTGCAGCACGAGCAGCAGTTAAACACAGGCTGTGTGCTCAGCTGCCACCTTTAACAGCCGAGTCCTTCTGTATCTCAGAGCAGGCAGCTCAGCATCTCTGAGGCTTCTCATCTCCCTTCCCCATCTCATGGGAAACAATAATATGTCGTATTACTTAATAATATTATTTTATAATAATAAAAGCCAAGTTTTGCCAGCAAAACCCATCCAAAATTTGACCGACGTCAACACCAGCTGATCTGGTCTATCAAGGGCTGGCTATGGCCCATGTGGTACCCTGGACATGCTCGCATCACTCTGTTTCCTTTGATTTGGCAGGGATACGAATGCTGTAGAGCTGTCTACTTTTCTCTCTTCCCTTTTCTTCCCCCCCCCCCACAAAAAGGGTGTTACAAAACTTCCCACAGAACCGTTTGTCAGCCATGGGAAGCTTTCCCTCTTGCTTCCAAACCGGACTACACATGCCGCAGGATGGAGCTATCTAAAGATCTCACGCAGCAATTGGACCCAGTCCTTTCCCTTGGCTCTGCACCAGTTTCTGATGTGACTGGATCAGATTTGCAGTTTCTAAGAGACCTTCAATTAAGCTTCACAAAAGTCATCTCAAGTGTCTAAAACCAACTGCCAAGAGAGGAGCGCCCTTGGCAGCTCTGGCTGCTCTCATTTAGGTGGTCAGCCCTGGTGGCACGAGCTGGCAGGATGAAGATGGGACTGGAAACCAGGCACCAAGCTCAATGGGCTCAGACGAGCCACTCACAACACACCCCATTTCTAAAGGCGTTGTAACACACAACCTTGACCTTGGGTAACCACAGTGGTAAAGGCACAGGCATACAAACTCCATGCCCATGTCTTCAGTTTTACTTTTACACTCACTAACTAGGGTAAATTGAAGGCAGCTTGGTCATGCCTGCGTGAACCTGGAATGCAGGGCTTTGATGGCCTTTGTAAATTGCCTGGAATATTTTTTTTTCCCCTTATTTCAGTGCAAATAAATGAGCTAATTTGCATTAATCCCATTTAGGGACCAAGCAAAAGAGTTCCCAGAAAAAGTTAGGAGTTATTAGTGCTGTTAAAATGAGCTCCTGCCCATGTGTGCACTCAGTGTTATTTGCACAATCTCTCATGACTGGACAAACAGCTTACACTGGCCTGAAGGAGAAGAAACTACATTGAAGTCACTGGGGTTACAACAGGACAAATAGAAAGGACTCAGGCCTTACAGTATATATAAAGCATTTGCAGCTCCATTAAATCAATGACATTTGCTCCTTAGTGACCACAACAGGAATGAAGCTTCAAGTTTTCATATGAAGTGATAAGAGAAAGCAGCAAGCTCTGAGATGCTGGGGCACATGAACCTTTGCAGAAGAGCGATTCTAATCTATGCACTCCCTTTACGAAAGGATATTGCATGGAGTCTGCAGGTCTCAGTTGGAATAAAACACACTTAAAAGGAGCCAAAAGCAAAAGCCAGGTCAGGGCAAGGCTGCACAAGGGGATGGGCAGGGAAAAGGGCCTTAACACCCATTCTGTGTGGGTCTGGAGGAAACAGACATTAAAAAGCCAATGTAGAGTTTAGGGTCAGCAGATGCCGGTGACTGGAAACAAAGCTCACAGCTTAAGGGACGCTCTTCTTCCACAAGTCTCTGATTGCTGAATACAAGCATCTGCGTCCAGATTCAGAGGCACTGAAGGATTTCAAGTTGAAGGCACCATTTCAGCGCTCATTAATCTTCAAAATTCAACATTATTCCTTAAATCCAAGCTGCTTTTTTGGTCCGAGGACACTCACCTCTTGTCCAGGCAGTCCTCTCTGCCCAGGTAAACCTCGTGCTCCTGGCTTTCCCTGAGAAAAAGCCGAAGGAAAAGATACTCAGAAGACAGAAACAAGCTCAGAAGGGCAATTAAAATGAGAAAGTCTCTTTCACAGCCACGGGACATCATCCAATGTCAATTCTGTTGCAGAAAAAGAAAACCCTGCACTTGGAGGGGCCTCAAGCCAAACAGACCAAGCTGAAACGCTGGCTGGGACAATCTTTAGGAACCTCCAGGGCTTTCTCTCTCTCCCCCCTTTCCCACTACTTTGTTTTCCCTGGCTGCTTCCCACCCCACACATTGCTCCAATCTCTGCTCCGCTCACCTTCAGGCCTTCAGGACCGTTTTCTCCTGGTGGGCCAATGTCACCTGGGAAGCCCTGGGGAGAAGGAGATGTGATCAGGGTGCACGGATGGACTTTTGCAGCCAGCTTCAGCGAGAGTTTTAACCCAAAGCTAAGGGCTGAGACATTCATTACATGCAGTGCCCACGTGCGGGCCACGGCACCGCTTCCAAAGGGAATGGAACAAGGTGATGGGAGCAGCGCTATCGGCTTGATTCAAGAGCAGCCTTTTCCCAGCAGCTCCCTTTAGGTCCATCTTCTTGGCAGGTTTATGGCTGCGAGGGCCTTGCTGTCATCACGCAGCTCGAACTGGCAGTTTGGGGTTTAATTAATCTTTACGAGTCAGCGCATAACCTCAGTGCTCTGAGGAGCCCAACTGCACGCCTCGGCGACAAAGGGAAGCAGGCGAGGGATTAGGAAAGGTGCTGACATGCTCATTAGCTGCTGCCTTCAGCCGGGCAGCGGCTCCTTCCCACCCACCCACCAACCAAACAAAGGAATCTGTGGTTATTTCCAATAGCAACAGAGAGGAACGATTGCTTAAGTGGCAGCACTCAGCCGAGAGCCCTTCCAGACCCAGCAACATACCAGAGCACTGATGATGGGGAAACAGCACTGGTTGTGCTGGAAAGGGCTCTTGAGCATTGTAAAGATGTTGCCTGGTTGCTTATGAAGCTCGGGGAAGCTGACCCTGCATTTAAGGTATCACTACGATACGTTTCCTGTAAGGGCAGGAAGAGCCTTTTTCTACTGGAATTGGTATTTTGTGGGGGAAAACTTAAAAATCCCTCCATAATATCAATGAAAAAAAGTGGAAGGAAAAAAACAGGAAAACATGAGATGTAGGATGGGTCTTGAACCCATCTGGATCCCCTCTACCTCATCCACCATCATACCCTAGAAAAGAAGTGAAACCCTAGGCTGAAAAGAGGAGGATGGGTGGAAAGTGAGATGCAAGATCTAATAAATGATTGTTCTGCCCTGCAAAAGGAGTTGGAGAACAAAAAGGGCCAGAAAGCAGGGCCATGGACACACCAGTCTAGGGCTGGTAAATATGTCAGAGCTCAGGTGTGGTGAGCAGCAGCAGCCGTCCCTTCTCCATCGGGCTGGGTGCCCATGTGGGAGGCAGCGTCTGGCTCTCGCTTTCCGTTTGAATTAGCAACAGCTCCATGCATATTCCTCCTAATCAAAACCCTCTGTGGGCCTGTCTGTACACAGCTTGAGAGCTGAACACCTCCTGTGTGGACAGGAGATTGGCATCTCAACAGCCATCAGTTGCCATATGGGTGTTTATCAGAGAGCCGATTCTCCGTGGGGAGCTGCAGACGTTTACTGCTGCAGAGGCAAAGCAAAGGTAAGAGAGAGGCGTTATCATGGGGGAGTGCTGGAGAAAGGATGCTGCAGAAGTTACCTAGGAAAAGGATGCTAGAAGAGGAGGTGGGACATACCTCAGGGCCAGGCGGTCCTGGAAACCCGACTGGACCTTTGTCACCGACTTTTCCCTGCAGAAATCAGGAAAACATGGAGAAAAGTGAGCTGTTTCGTGGCTTCCCTGCTGAGAGCAGCACACCCCTTCCCAGCTGCCTTTCCAGCCGGGCACAGAGCCTTTAGACAGGGAGAGGAGGAAGCAGAGGATGCTCGATTACTTACCAAGGGGCCTGCTTTCCCTCGTGCCCCAGGGACCCCAGGCAAACCCTGGCTGCCCTGAGAGAGACACAGGTTTTCAGAACACAATGAAGCATCACAAATATACATATTCTCCATCTCCTCTGCATGGAGAGAGAAGCACTTTCTAAGGGCTAAACTCAGCCCTGCAAGGGGCTGGGACAGTTGCTGGGACAATGACATGTTTCTGCTAAAGCTGGGGCTGAATTTAGCCCCAAAGAACACATGAGCTGTTGCAGTTGGATGTGGCTCAGAGCCATGTAGGCTCCAGTGCATTGCTCAGTACAGCATCAGCCAGCTGAACTCAGTATCGTGCTGTAGTCACAGGGGAGAAGTCATTGGACCACACACATTCACACCCACCCTCATCAATTCCACCCCATCACATCCATTTCTATCAGGGGATATGGCCCCCTTTTATAGAAAGCCCCTATAGAACTACTTTTATTATGAATAACAACAAAATCCATATATTGACATGAATTTTAGCAAGGCACAATGTACCCCTAATGAGAACTATCCAGGCAGGGAGACCTGACAGCAGGATGCAGTTAGTTCCAGCTCCTCATGGCTTATGGTGAGCCGAGAAAGCCGGTGGCCACACATTCTATTATGTAGGAAAGAAAGAAAACGATGGAGAAAAGAAAATCAATTACCTTGTCTCCTTGGAAGCCGATATCTCCTGGGACACCCGCTCCTCCCTGATCACCCTGGATACACATCACCAGAGGGTTAAAACAGGCAACAGCAATGGCCAAAGTGCCCAGGTAGGTGCTAGAGAGTGCACTGTACAGCAACAAATCTCATTGCCAGCTCCAGGCAAAACTGAACTGCTGGCAGACTGCAGATCATGTTAACTCTAACAACAACCCTGAACAAACTATGTATTTCCCAACACTGATTCTAAAGTGAGAAATGAAACTGCAGGAGAGAGAATACAAATTCCCAAGCATTGTGTATAGAAGCTGCAAGAAGAGGCTGAATTCCTCTGGCTAACAGCAACAGTGAAGGTGGTGAAGTGTTCAGATTCAGCTGAACAGAGGAGCTAGCTTAGATTTCAATGAATGGGCCTTTTCTCTCACAGGGCTCTATAGAAAAGAAAACAATACTCAGGGTTCCTGTGAGCGTATCCTCGTGCTGGCATCAAAAATCAATCCTATTCCGAAAGAATACATGAGTAACTTCTAGTAATGCTTGAATTGCATCTCACTGCCAATATCTAGGCTGAGATACCCCAGGAGGCTGGTGTTCATTGTGTGTGTGTGTGTGTGGGGGAAACCCCATCTTTAGGCACAGCATCACTGGCAGTATTTCCTAATCAAGCTATCTTTCTTTCCCCTCTTTGGACCACTGTAACAGATCCTGACTCCCCGGAGAGAATATAAGTACCCCTGAAGGTTTTCTTCTTGCATCACCTCTTAGCCCTGCTGTGAGCAGGCTGTTGGAGCAGATGACCTCCTGACCAACATCGTTTACTTAGTGATTTACTTAAAGGATGGGTCAATGATGGGGCAAAGAAAGGAAAATTCTTCTTGGGAAGTCGAAGGAGGAATAACTCTAAAGACTTGGGACAATGAGACCCAGCAGAAATAACTCGGAGGAACTCTGTCCCATGCACAGCACATACCTCTAAACTTGGTTTCCCAGGAAGGGAACAAGCAATATGAATGCAGAGAGTTGTATGTTCAACCATAGCCCACATGGCCAACATATGGGCTCCTGCAACAGAGCCAAAGTCTACAAGGAGACGGCAGAGGAAGTCTCCTTCTACTCAAGCAAAACCCACTCGTTTGTTATCAGAGAGCTGAAATAATTGTCACAACCTCAGAAACATGCAGGGGGTAATGAAACTGTGGAGGGTCAAGGCTTGAGTTGGGAAAGACTATTTGGAGACAGCTTGTGCAGGAGAAAACTAATTGGGAACGATGCAGATTGAGTGATGGAAACATTTCATGGATTCATGCTAAATTTGCCTAAGTGCTTTGGTAAATGTTCCCAGAACATTTCACTAAAGCAGCTTCAAAACAAACCTTTTATATAGCAAAAATGTTGCTCTTAAACAAAAAAAAAGTTAAATTAATTTTACCCATTTGGTTTGTTACCTAAAATATTTTAATTTGAGTCAATACCAACTTTTTGCTTCATTTAAACTATTTTCCATCTCTCTTTTTTTTCTCCTTTTTGGCAATGCAAGCAAATGGAAACAATCAGCTATTTACACAGCTTCAGTTCGGATGAACCCCAAGTACTGGATACAATAGAGATGGCAAAAAACCTACTGGATGACCCAGCTCATTTCCAACCATTGCAAGGTTTCTCTCATCTTCTCTTTTATCTGGTCCAGGGTTTAAACCACTGAAATCTACTCTTACGCTGGCTCCTGCCAGAAGAACAGCAGGAAAATAGTTTTGCTTGCTCTGAAAACTCCTTGTTTTTATCCCCTATACGAAGGGTCAAAAAAGGATTTATCTTTCATTAAGCAGTGTTCTCCCCAGCAATAGAAATGGCCATTGGAATAGATACCTGGACATTGAGAAATGACTACTATAGGGAAAGGCAGGAACAAACCTTTATCGCTGACCTTTAAGTAGAGTGGGATGGTGACTATGTGACAAAGAGTTTTCAAACAGCTCTAAGAAATAGGCATTAGAGAAGGTGAGAAGGAAGCGGGGAAGACAAAACACATCTCTTATCTGTGCTATTGCAATAGCACAGCAGAGCGATCATAGCACACGAACAATCCATCTGTGATGGTTAGTAACATCTTAAAGCAAAGGACTAAGGCATCCCCTCTCACCTGCCTTGAACACAATAAATCTGGAACTGTGATTTGGTGTCTGTGCCCTTAATGTGAGGGGCAAGACAAGGAAGGAAGAGGTCAGGCATGTTTATTGTTAAAAAAGGCTGAAAAGGGGCTGTGAGGACTTTGCTCGTGGGGAGGAGGAAGAGGAATGTATGATCTGAAATTACAAACAGGCTCTGCCTATGGGATGGTGCCCGTTTCATGTTTCACCTATAAAAAGAAATGCAGCTTCAGAGACCCCGGGGCCCTTCTTCACGCCACATAACACAGAAGGGGGCTGCAAGGGAAGTGATAGATTTGCAAGTGCAAGGGGGGTATGCTGTGTGCAAGACGCAGAGGAGGGCACTGAGCAAAACCCCCTCACTTTGGGTATGTCTTTCCCCAAGACTTCCTGCTCGGAGGAGCAAACACTGCAGAACTACCAGAGGTATTTCACTGAGCTGTGTCCTTCACAAGTTACAGGTGTCCTGATTCACAGAACTCCTTCATGTGAACAAGCAGCTTGGATTTCCTCCACTTCCTCCGCCTTTCCTTTGTGTTGTTGCTTGGTCTTCTCAAGACCACTCTTTATTTCAGGGTTATACAGTAATTCCACTCCTCCTTATAGGAGGAGATGCAACCCTCTCTGCCCCAAAGAGAACAGAAGGACCCATGCTGTGGGAAAACTGAAGCTGTAAAAAGCATCATTAAATACTGTGGTACCAAGAGCTTGTATGTGGGATCCAGAAGGGGCTGGCTAGCACTGGTGTGCTCTGTACTTGTCTCCCTAGCTGCTAGATGTGATTCATGCAGGAGGAGTGGGATGTTGCCCCTTGGTCTGGTTCATGCCTAGCCTCCACTATGTGATGCCTGGGATTAACTGAGCTGCACCTTGTGGAATACTGAACAAACAACAAAGGACAACAAAGTCCAAAAATCAGTGAAAAACACTGGTGTAAGGTGTTGATTTGCTGCTGGAATTTTGATTCACTAGTACCTGGATTCATTTATCTTGCATGCACAACACACTTCGTGTATGACTTTCAGAGATGTCTCAAGGGAAGATGCTTGGACAGTTGGCAGATGGCAGCTCAACCCCTATGGGAAACCATGTGTCTTCAACTGATTTCTGAACCCTGTTCACAAGCTGGGGTGTAAACAGGACTCCTGGGCTCCAACACAGCTTTCTGCTCTATGGGCTGTGCATCAGCTCTGCCACCCCTTCCTTCTGCAGCATTCCTGGTGAATGCACTGCAGGAAAATAGCTTGCAAGTCTGAAATAAAGGGAATCAGGGACCTCATAGGCTCATATATTCATACAGTGGGACGGGTATGCTTGAGCCACACCGATGTGCAGTGAAAAGGTTGCTACATGGTGACTGGACCATCATCCCCAACTAGCTAGCTAAGTTCACTCCTGGAATTGCATCTTCAACATCAAGCAGAGAGAACTCTCTTACTTGGGAGGTGACCAAGCTATGAATAAGGCTCTCTGCAGAGCAGGCTGCATACAACTGTGGTCTGGAAACGTTTCAAGAATGGCAAGAGGCAAACTTTCAGACCCATAGACATAGAGAATAAATACAAGATTCAGGGAGGCTGCTTATGCTTCTGGTCATAGCAGTAAGACAGATCTGTCTGAAGTAGATGATGAAGGGTTATACTGAAGTCAAAAGCTAATGGACACAGAAAGAATAGTAGGCGACCAGAGAAAGCCTTTAAATAAGAAGTCTCAGCCTAAAAATAGCAATAACAGCAGAAACAAACAGTGGTATGACTGGTGAGAGAATACAGAAGGAAGCTCCAGCAGAAGTCAATCCCTCTGTGCTGGGCAGGGTCCTTCCTGTGACCCAAGCCCAATCAGGCACTAAGTGAAAACAGAGATCCTGCCTCTGTTTTCCTACATGTGGCATTTCCTTGAGTCAGATAGTTCTAAGACCAGCTCCAATTAAGAAGACCAGATATATATTATATATAATATACATTATATATAAAAGATACATTATATATTATATACATAATATATATAATATACATTATATATACACACATATATAAATTCCTTAGTGGTACCAGAACATAAACAATTAAAACACAAATGTAAGCAAGCTGTAAAAGGGATGAGTGGTTTTACTCCAGATGCCCCAATCAGAGTGAGAGAAAATAAAAAGACTTAAAGGTGCCATTCGCTAAGGGAATGTGGGAATGAGTAAATGAATGCAAAAGCCTTTTGATCAGCTGGAGAAGGGCTGTATTATGAACTGGGCCAACCAGCTGAACAGCAAGGCCAACAAATCAGAAAACCAAATAACTGAATAAGCCACAAAGCTGTTTCAGGCCAAATTCTCCCTTAAACGTAAGGAGAGCTGATGAACTTTGTCTATCCCCATGCAAACAAGTGCAGCAAACTCTGATGCTTCAGCTAAAAATGGCAATGCCAGAGCTTGTGCCTTCACCTGAGCATATGAGACTCGTGGTCATCGATGCCTCAGTGGGCCTGATTTTCCTTTACCTTGTATTTCCCACCCTTTGGCTGTTTGGCCGCTGGAAAGGGTATGCACAAGGTGTTTGGAAGCTCCCTCTGGCTCTGGAATCTCTGCTGGTTCAATCAGAGTGTTTGACAGCACCCAGGATATTCAAACTAAAGTCAACTCATTAGGGACAGAGGAGGCTTGAGTAGAAGGGATGGACTGTCAGCCTTGGATTGGGAAAAAGCTGTAATGAAACCTAGGAAGGCTGCCCAAGGAAAATGTAGTGGGAGAGGTAGCAAGGAGGGAAACAAGAGGTTTTCCTGCACCTCAGGAGAGAGGCTGCAAGACTGAGCAAGGGCTTACTGGGGAAGGATGGATAATTCTGCACATGGGAGTATTTTCTAGGGATAACTCTGGGAGAGCTGCAAACCGTTTGGTTACTGTGATAGCAGTGGCTGGATAAATACTGGGGATAAACAGAGTAACCTGCGACAAGTGATGGAGACCAATACCCAGGCAGCTATAATGTCTTAAGCTTCTTCTCAAGCAAAAAGTCCTTCTTTTGCCCTGTTCTTCCTCTCTAAACAAGTGAAAAGGCAGTGCAAGGGAGAAATGGAAAGTGCAGACACAGGAGCCATGGAAAGAGCTTCTATAATAGGAGCAGAATGGAATCAACTGGCTTGACACTACTTCCCCCTTGTGCAGTTCTGGGCTGCTAAATCATCCTCTAAAAGCAAACATCGAACAAGAGAATAAAACATCAGACAGGAAGAGGAGAATACACTTAATGGCCATTTTCCATTGCCCTCCTGAGCAATCAGGACCAACAATAAATGATTGCACCTCCCACTCCTTCAGACTAAATAAATCCTCCAGTCGAATACCTGTAGGAGGATGGTTCTCGTGACAGTGAGACATTTCCACACACAGCTTCATGCTGGTTTAGCTCAAGCTGCACATTTCTGTGCCAGCAGCAATAAATCACTGCAATGGAGGCCCCTTCTCCCTTCTCATTCTTTTAAAGTGATTTATGTTAGTTTGGCATAAGGCAATTTCCTCTCGACAGGAGGCTGAGCTGAGGTGAGCCTCTGAATGGGAGCAGAGGTACCTAACACAGAGCAGTGCTCCTGGGGATCCAGCTGGGTCGCTTGATCCAGTGAGCTGCACTGCTTTGACACATCACATGCATTAATGCAAACCCATTGTCAGTGCTCCTAGGTCTTCGCCCTCCTTCCCCATCCCATCATGCAACCCATATAAACCCATAAAAGCCCAGTGAAACACCAGATAATCTTACAGTTACTGTCATCAGTGGGAGATAGAAGCTCCAATGAGGATCTGATCGACACAAGAACTCCATGGAAAAGGGGATGGGGGAGATACATCAAAACTGGAGTGTCAAGAAAGAAGGGAAGGTGGGAAGACGGGAGCAAAGAGACAGCCAGAATGGAACTAGTGCCATGGTGCTGGATAAGAAAGAGAAGCTAGAAAGGGGGTTTCACATGCAAAATTAAAACACAGTGCAATAAGGGAGTATTCAGATCACCTTATCACCTTTCAGTCCATGTTCTCCAGGGTTTCCCATCAGCCCCTGAAACAAGAGAGTTCAAAGTGAGACTGAGCCACTGTGAAGACTTGCCCAGGTCTATGACACTGATGTCCCTGATGGGGCTGGTGGCTTAGACACAATATTGGCCTGGCACAACCCTAAATCCAAGTGCCGGACTGGTCCCAGAGGTGCTCCATCACACATCCTTTAAGAGCCTTTCATGGGCTGGTCAGTCACCATTACCCAAGGGAGGAGCAGGATAATCTTCAGCCCTGCTGTGGAGGCACAAGAGCTCACACAGCTCAGTTATTGTCTCACCTTTAAGCCTTTTGGTCCTGCATAGCCTATTGGTCCAACAGAGCCCATGTCACCCTGGGAAGAGAAGAAGAATTATGAGTCATCAGGTGAAAACCCAACAGTACACGTTCAGAAATTCCTCTTCCATCTCTCAGTATCCCGAAGGAATTGCACCACTGACTTCAGCAGAAGCAGCATCCTCGCATGAGTCAAGAGGCTTTTAACGTGTAGACAGCCTCTAAGTAAAAGCAGCACAGGGCGTTCACCTCGCAGGCATGTGAGGGAAGAGCTGCAGCTCCTGTTCACATCCTGCTCTCACCACAAAGCACAGACCCCAAATCCCCTTGGCACTAACCACTGGAGATGCGAGCTGTCCCCCATAGTCAGCTCATCCCATGCCCGCAGGAGATACGGGTTTCGGGTGGTGTGGTGAAGCTCCAAACCCAGGATTCACTTAAATAGATGAGGAATTCAGGCTAGTAAATGAATGGCAAAATAGTGGAAAATTAATTAAGAAGCCACTTTGAAGTGTGCAGCTGGGGTAGGATCTGAGAAACAATTTGGTATGTTTTTCCTAGCTTTTGAATGGATTCATTTCCCTCTTTCGCTATCCGCAACATTAAAACATTGAGCAGGTTTAAGACAATCCTGGAACGTATTCATTCTTGATGAAGTTATTCCTGTTCTCGGGAAGAATCTATCAGAGATAGATGTTTAGATTGGATATAAGGAAGAAGTTTTTTCCTGTTAGGGTGGTGAGGCACTGGAATGGGTTGCCCAGGGAGGTTGTGAATGCTCCATCCCTGGTGGTGTTCAAGGCCAGGTTGGACAGAGCCTTGGGTGAGATGGTTTAGTGTGAGGTGTCCCTGCCCATGGCAGGGGGTGGAACTGGATGATCTTAAGGTCCTTTCCAACCGTAACCATTCTGTGATTCAATGATTCAATGATTCTAGAGTATTCTCAAGTTCTCCGGATGGGATCCGAGGGTGTGTTAAACAGGACACAGACCCAAACAGCAATAAAGACAATGGTCAAGAAATTCAGGTCACTGCCAAGCTTTGATTTCTAAAAGCAACATGGGGAGGAGAGAGGAGGAATGGGAGGTGGTAGGGACAGAGATGCCTCATCAGCATGGCCATTCTGCTGATAGCATCGTGTCCTGGGGCTCATATGAGAGACTGGAGCACAGGAGGACCCTGGAGCTGTGGATGTTGGTGTACCGGCGTGTGCATGTACAAAAGAAAGCCTTCAGTGGCTTTCAAACAGGCTTTGGCTGCTTCCTGCCCATGAAGAGAGTCAGTGATGGGGTGCTCCAGCCTCGCTGCAGTGTGTAAATAAACAGGGGAGGCTCTGCCGGAGGAGAGCTGCAGCCGCCTCAACAGATGCTCTTTTCATACCTCTCAGCATAAAGGCTGCTTGTGGGAAGGAGTTTACTTAAAGCTTTGCCCACATGGTTAATTAGAGGCTTTGAGTTACATCTAATTCTGCTCTTGAGCCTCTCAAACAGCAAACCCAAACACTTGCAGGGTGCTGGAGCAGCCGAGGACCCGGCCGGTCCCTTGGGGTGACTGTAGATGGGACAGAAGGAAGGAAGAGACTGAATGGGGTCTGCAGCAGACACTGTACTGATGCCATATGGAGTGAGCTCCGTGCTGCAGACCCCAGGGAAGGAGGTTGGTGCTGTCCCACAGAGAGGAAAATGCAGAATGGATGTGCCCCCTTCTTCCCAGGAGGATGGAGGAGGTCGCTGCTAGATCAATCCCACTTGAGATGCTTCAGCATCCTGAATTCAGGAGTTGCATATAACCCTGGGGTATAAGATCTGATTCAGTTTCAGATCTTAATCTGACCTGAATCTCTGTTTGAAATTATTAGCTGCTCAGAGTGGTACCAACAGAAGAACTGGGAATGACAACAGCTAATTGCCAGTGCTGCAGCAAGGGATTCCTGGAAAACAGCACTGCAAAAGCCTGACTTTTTGCCTTAAAAGTAAAGCCAGGAAGAAGCTCCCAACAGGAATGATGATTCCTTCATCCGGATGGGAAGGAAGGAGACGCATTTAAAGTTTAAGCCAGACCAGGCTCAGCAACAAAAGGAGGTCTGCCGGGTTTGCCCTTTTCCAGCAAAAAACTTGGGGTGCCAGTAGAAACCAACCTAACTGATCAAGGCAGAGAAGGTGGCAGGCTCCGGGTACCTGGTGATGGAGCTGAATCCTGGTCTAGGACACGCAGTGCTACGTGGGGACAGTCAGGGAGAACACAACAGTTTAGTTGTACCCCACGTAGAATGTGGTGCTATTTGAGTGGCTGCAGTTAATGTGGGACAAACATGATCACAAAGGCAGGTTAGAAACCACACACTGCCTGTGCTCATTCCAGATCAGCTCCAGCAAAACCTGTTCTTCCTGGCCCTGGGATGTATCCCAAGCACTGGCTGGGCCAGCGCGGTGGGGAGGGCTCCATCACCTCTGTAAGGAACTCAATCCTATTTATAGTGCCTGGCCTGCCACTTTCTAACAAATAAATACCTGTGAGATAATAGCAACCAGGTTAAGACAAATCCTTCCAAAAGCTTGGAGAAATATGATCCAATTTGGACAATACCTTCAATCAGATTTGTTTCAATGGCAATCTTCCTCTTACCGCTCTTTGCCAGGATCACATCCTTTCTGCTGTTGTGTCTAAGGCAGATACTTTCATTTCCACTAACAAAGGGAAACACAAACCTAATTCCTGGCTCCACAAAAACCATTCTGAAGCCTTAATCCATCTTTGCCCAACTGCCCCATCTGCAAGATGGGAATACTTGCATCAGGATTTTCTCAGCTTTCCCTTCACAGAGTCTAAGATTCCTGGGGTTTGTGCTCTGTGTGCAGTGTTAGGGCAATTGAGGCCTTGGTCTCACCTGACCTACACACACCTATAATTTAAGCTAAGGAAAGGCGAAAGGGGAAGGTTTTTAACCATTCAGTGCAATGGATTAGCTGAGGAGGAATCATCTTGAAAGAATGCTGCAGTGCTAGCAGAGCCTACTGCTTCTCATGCATGGAAGGAAATAACTCGAAACAGGCACTGAGACCTAAAAAGAAACCATGATGTGTTCAGCGGGGCAGACACTAACCCCCGGCACAGCTGCCAGGGGAGGAGATGCCACCCATCTTTCCAGCCATTTATCTCCTGCTGTAATGAAGGGTGGAATCTGGCTGTGTATGTAATTACCTGGATTAGTGATGGGATGGTGACAGTGCACGTAAAATCCCTGTATACCCAGAGGACAGAGCCTTCCTGCCCATGGTCTCTCCAGGGAGCAAGAACTGGGATTCCCGGAGGTTACTGCTTATAGGGATTTGTGTTTTAAAAGGATAGGTCCTGGTGTAGGATGCACATTGCATCTTTGGAGAAATACCCTGACACAGGTTATCAAAAGAGCGCTAACAGTAAAGGCTCAATCTGTTTCCTTTGGTTTAGGAAGGGTTTGCCCCCCTCCACCTCCCAATCCACCAGGCAACCTCCCCTTACAACCACTCCTGTTTGCTGCCCTGCCACAGGAAGCAGACAATCTGCGCACAGTTATGCAGGCTGAAAGGGTTAAAGGGCCGAGAAGCCAGATCTCCACTTGTTTTTGTACTTACAATGAGTCCAAGGACTCCAGGAGGACCTGGGGCTCCCAATTCTCCCTAAAAGGAAAGACAAACCAACATGGTTACGGACGCACTGTGCGCAGGCTGAAAGCAGCTCCGTGGGAAGGGAAGAGACCATCCCTCCCCTTTCTATCGCCCCTTCCCCAGCCGAAGTGATGGAGAGCTTCCCTGTGTGCGAGTGCATCCTCTCCACACGCAGGGCTGGCTTCTCCCAGGAGCAGGATGGACAGAAGCAGCGTTACACAGAGCAGGAGGGAGCCTGCCCCGGGTGAGGTGAAGCCATGGGCAGGGAGAGGAACCAGGGTAGGGGACAGCAAAGTTAAAGGTGGGAAGGGAAGGAAGGCTGTTGCTTAGCACTGGGAAAGGGGAAGGGTTTTTGTGAGTGGTTAAAGAGCAGTAAAACTCATAGGGATGAAAATGAAATTTGATAGTTTGGGAAGAGGGTATGATGGGTATGGAGAGCTTCTGGTGCTGGCTGATGGCCCCTGGAGACGTGTCTGGAATACACGGTGCCCTGAGGCTGTGCCTCCTGTATCTAAGAGCCGGTTTAAGGCCGGGAGCCAGCAGCATCCTCTGCGCTCTGCCTCATCTATCTACCAGCCATTGCTTTCACCTTCAGAAAAAGCCCTTAGCCTTCGGGCTGCAGCTTGTCCACAGGGATGTGGCTCACACCTCTGTCCCTGGAGGGCAGCTCCTGCACTCACTTGGAGGATGAATCACTTGTAATCACACTGTGGACTGCAGGAGAGGGACTGCAGAGATTCCATCTTGGGCTCCGTGCCCGTTCTCCATCTCTTACAGACTGCTCCCAAGCAGGGCACTTTGGAAAGCACCGACTCCTCTTAGAGGCTTTCCAAGGGCACCTCCCAGCTCACTGCTCCAAGGACAGATTGCTAGCTAGGTTTGCGGGCTGCTTTGAGTTCTCAGCTTCACAAACTCCCTCTGCTCCAGCTTTCCAAAGCCATGCAGGTGCCTGATGACATTTCCAGGTGATGTGCAGCTGGGAAGCTGTGTCAGACCCACACAAGTCAGCTCTTTAGGTCCTCAATACTACATCAATGATGTGATGCTCAGCCTGTCCCCATGTCTCCTTTGCTGCACTGACAGTGCTTGTCAGGGCAAGGACCTGCTCTTACACGCTCCCATCTCCAACAGAGCCTCTCAAAACAAGTGCATTGGAAATGCTGAGCTCCCCGTTGGCTCAGACAGCCCTACCCCTGCTCTGGATCACGCTGCCTACTTGCTTTGACAGAGCAGCTCAGTTTATGGTGCACATCTGGTGGAGTCCCCCCTTCAGTGCAATAAAGCTCCCCTTTTATGGAAAGCTTTTCCTAGTGAAAGAATGAAAGAGAAGGGGTTGTAACGTGACCAAACGTGCTCAGCCTCCTTAGGGACAGGGTTCCGTGTGTTTATTTGATGGGAAGTGGAGTAAAGGACTATTGGGCAAGCGCACACAGAAAGCATTTCATAATCTCAACCAGCCTAAAATGGCTTTTTTTTTTTTACAGCCGGTTCCTTTCCTGCATACTTGGGACATCTGTGGAGCAATTGTTCCTCACGGGTGGGATTTCTGCATCCTTGGAAATGCTGTAATAAGGTCGGCATCAAGCTTTAAGTCAAGGCCTGGCATTACTATGCTTAGCAAGCAGAGGGAATACCCCCTTGAATGCTGAGCACAGGAGATGCACGGTGGCCTGGGTTTCCCAGTAAGGCTCCAAGGGTGGCTGGGATTCAGACAGGGTGGATGGGCAGCTCTTGGTCCAGGAGGGACTGCCTGGATTTCCGAGCTATGCCGTGTGGGTATTCCTCAAGAGAAAGGGGAAATGTGGAAACTCAGAGCCTCACATCTAGCACAAGAGGATTTCCTCTTGGAAAAGGAGGGGGTGGACTCCCCAGAGAGATGTGGGCAGGAATAGCTTTTAATTTGAGCCATTCCCCAGCCTGGGAAATGAAGGATTTGCAGGTGCTCCTTCCTGGCTATCAGTAATGACAGGCTGGGCCCTGACCTGCGAGGGAAATCAGGCTCTATTCTCCTTTCCTCAGTGCATGAACCGGGCACTGGGACAAGAGACAAGGAGATGAATCAACAGCCCTTTCCCATGTCTAATTCCTGTGATTAAGAGACTAATTGGAGTGGCTAAAGCGCTCCGGGAGCAGGGATGTGGAATGTGATGGCTCAACAGTTCTCAGCAAGTTGGTCGGAGGGAAAAACGCCCCTGTGGTTGGAAGAGCCTTTGCTCTGTCTGGAGGGGATGGAAAGAAGATCAGAGACAGTCGGCTTCAGCCATCCCCATGCGACAGCAGCACCGAGTGCTCAGTGGATCAAACAGAGCATGTGGCAGCCCAGGACCTATGGCAGCCTGCCCACAACTGAGCTGCATTACCCCACCTAGCAAAGCCGTGCTCCGCAAACAGACTTCCTGGCATTTCTCTGTGTCTGTGACTCCGCTTGTGACCCTGTGAACCTCCCTCTAAGGCAGCTGAAGCAGTCTGTTTCCATTCTACAATCTCCAAGGCACATTAATATTTAAAAGCCGTTGATAAGATGAAAGAAGGAGCAATCCTTCTGGGTGGATTAACAGGAGGGACGTTTGCTTCTTCTCCGATGCTCTGGGAACTGGCATTCAGCTGACACTGAGCGCATCTTCTGAATGGGGCTTGGACAACTTACAGATGTGAAAGAAGCCAAAACAAGTTATTTGGGGAAAAAAAAACAACAACCCTCTTTCTGACCTCCAGGATTCTGCTCTTCCTGGCTGGAAATAGCAGTACAATCCAGAAAGACTTCTGCTTTGGGATCACTGATTCTACTCGGACCCATGGCTTAAGTCTACTGAAGGACAGGAAAAGTCCTGCACAAGTGTTCCTTGGGAATCTCATTCTTTCAATTCACTGCATTTGTGACTCCTGTGCTCAGTTCCCACAAAGGCTGGAGCGTGGCTGGGCTTGCCCTGGCAACCAGAGCTGCTCGTGGAGATAACTTTTACTTTGCATGCATGATGAATGGCAACTTGAAGACACACGCGGAGTGTTGTTACCCTCACAGAAATCACTCCATCAAACACCAAGAGCAGTGCTGAGATTGTGTGTGAACAACCAAGGCAGCAGGAATCTGAAAGATGAATCTGTTGTGCTCACATGCTAATTGAGGGAGAACCAAGAAAGCCATTCAGAAATTAACTTAGAATAATGAATACAGTGAGAACTTTTGCAATCCACAAGGGCCTGTTTTGTGAGGAGTGGAGAACAGCGCACATGCAACTGTTTGGTATTAAGTGCTACAAAAGCAGAGCAAAATCAACCTTATCAGCATCCTGCTGCTTAAATGGTCTCCGTGACCATCCTGACCCAATTCCCAGGAGACACATCCCATTCTTGGAAAGCCAGCAGGGGTCAGATGGAGACCAGAGAGAAGCCAAGAACTCAGGAGCCTGGAGACTTCTCCCACTGCAGCCCTGGGAGCAGGGCAGCAGAAGCCTGGGCTATGGTGTCTGTCTCTTGGTGCTCCCAGACACTGGAATGGGGAATCTGGTACTTCCTACAGCAGTATTAACATTCATCTTGGATAAGAAAAGCTTCTGAGTTTGGAGTACTTTAGAAGCTTAAATCTACAGGCTAGAGAGATGCAAACCAAGTGGTACCAGCTTGCTAACCTACATCACAAAACAGGATGCAATGAAAAGGAATGTGTCTCTTCACGTATCTCAGACCTCTATACAGCTGAGTACGTGGCCTGCTCCTCTGAGAGCTCACATGCACTCAAGTAGCCATCTGTGGGCACCTTATGATAATATGACCTTCTGCCTGTTGGCCCATGTCTCTCTACTATATTCATACAAAGCTTCATCCAAAGCACACTAGTCAACAAGATGATTCCTGCGGCTCATAGGCTTTGCATCAGCCCCTGTGGTACAACACATTCCAACCACTGCCTGCTCATCAGAAGCAACACCCCTGCCTTTCCTCTCATGACTTTCCTCCTGGTGATCTCCTCAGGATAAGGAAGCATCTGTCAAGGCCAAGGCATGAGAAAGGCAATAGAGGGAGATGGAAATGAAATGGCAACGTGATGACCTGGCAGTTACAGGATGCTGAGTTGAACACGGCAATTCACAGCATGCTGGAGCAGGGCAGGGATGCACATTTGTTCTTCAGGAGGGTCAAAACCAAAATGCAAGCAGCTGACAGCAAGCTTACGGACTTCTATCAGTCTAACCAGTGTGATGCAGAACAGGGCAATAGAGAGAAAAGCCATCAACTTACTGGGTTCCCATCGATGCCTGGAGGTCCTCGCTCCCCGAAATCACCAGGAAAACCCTGAGGAAAGGAGGCAAACATGAGTGTTAGTTATTGATGCACCTAGGTGTAAAGACAGCTTAAACACTGCTGCCCCTGCGCTCAGTGCTGCTCTTTGGTAGCCAGCAGGTCACAAGGAAGCATGGGCCTGTCTGGCCTTATCCAAATTGTTCTTGCTCCACATCCTGAGCACATCCACTCAGCAAGAAGCTCTACAGGGCCAAAAGCTCTGATTCACTGCTCCCTCCTGGGGCCAATGAAGGGTAACCGGGAATACCATTTACAAGGCTCAGCCATGAGCTGCACATGAACTAATGGGAGCCTTGAGAGGAAGAGTCAACGAGGAGACAGGAGGGCTTTTTCCTCGGCCAAGCTATGAAAAGCACCCACTGCTGAGGCTGCTGGACCTGACTTGCTCATTCCTTGTCTTGCAGGCTATGTCCAGCCTGTTGTAGATGTCATACGGTGGGCAAGGCTTTTGCAGTGCCGTATAGAAAGACAACATGAGTGTGCATAGCAGAGAGAAGGGGTGGAAATCAGTGCTTCTGTTGGTTCCTCCTGTTGGTTCACTTCATTATGCCCAACAAGGAATACGCAGCCCTGAAGATTAGGTTGTGTATATACATATGAAGTAACTATCCCACATTTGGAAGTTAACGTGTTTAACAATACAGTGCTTTTTATCCTTTTTCAGGAAGAAATGCCCTACTTAATCCTTCCTTAAAATTCAATACTTCCTTTAAAGTCACTCCCAAATCCTTCATGCTCTGGAAGAATATAAACCTCACTTCAATGACTATCCTCAAAAAACGGATTGTCAATCCGAGTTATTTCATCCTGTCTCCTAACATAATCATTCTGCTGGAGCCTATGCAGATGCTTAATGGAGCTGATCAAAGATGCCTAGTGAATTCACTCCAGTGCGTTCACAACCTTTCAGCTTGCCAGAGGAACAAACAGTTCCAAGCTCATTACAGTCCACGCCCCAGAGCTGTGAAAGGCCATGTTTACTACACGAAAAAGTCACCACAAAAGACTTCATCATCATCTCGTTATATCCAATGCGAATCTGGAAGACTTCAAACAGTTATAGAGAAAGAGTTACAGGTACTGAGCCAGAACCAGGACATGGTGGTGTACACATATTCTCCTGTGCCCTTGGACAGATCCCGTGCCCAGGACCCTAAGTCTCCCCAATTCCCTATTACAAACCATACAGTAGCTTGCTCTCCCCTGTCCTGCTGTACTCTGTCTCCTTTAGGAAGAGCAAACCCTCTTGGTTACTACACTGACAGTTTCAAGGAGGAAGCAGTTGAGCTTAAGATGGATTGGGCTCGATTTTCCCCTGGGTTTGACCTTCATTCAGCAAAGGACTGGCAGGAAGCAGACTGCCAAGGGCTATCAAGGACCACTCAGACATCAGCAGCTTCAGGGCTACTCCAAACTGCAGCTGCAGTGGGAGCTGCTTTGGGGAGGCTGTGACACCGAGTAAGAGCGCTGCTATTCTCCACTTGCTTTTCTTGCATGGCCTTTAAGATGGAGTGAGATAAAACATGATACAGCATCCATCTCTTTCAACTCTGAGCCAAAAGGGGAGCTGCGTCTGCTAGAGCAGCTCCCCATGGACCCAGCACACACAGAGCCTAAGAACAGGCTCTCTCCTAGACTTGGTGAACTCAGCCAGGGCTAAAATCTTGCTTTATTTTCCACACTATTCTGACTGTAGCCACTGGGATGGAAAACTAAGGAGTGTATTTGCATATAACAGGCTTCCCAACCAGAGCATCAACCTTAGTGCTTCAGTTCAGAGTGGGAACTTGCAAAGCAAAGCTCCAACCACCCCTGCTTCCTCTTCTGCTTATTGTGGAGCAGTCTTGGGGGATAAACAGCATTGCTTAGGTGAGGCTACAGCAGACACACCAACAAGCTGCAACTGCTAATGGGTATGTTACTTCTGACTCAGACTAGGACTTACAGTAACAAAGGACAGCACAACCATGTTCTGGGCCAGGTACGAGCTTAAGAGGCAGGGATGGAGCAGACAGGGAGAGGATGGTCCTCGCTGAGGCAGAAGGATGCTCTCGCTTCCTGCCTGCTCCCCTGGGTGCTACAAACACTGGTTAACCTTGGAAAAGTGAACCTGAGGGAAGCAAAATGAGACAGCAAACAGCAGCACACCTTCTGGTGTTGACAGCCATCAGTAACACTGAAACCTGAAACAATCACAGCAGATAGAACAGGAAAACTACACTGGGAAGCTCTGCAGTCAGATGTCGCCCAAGACCTCCCTTCACCTTTGAGGGTTTACAACACCTGGTCAACCCAACTGAGTAAAAAGATACCTGTTCAAATGGGAGACCTGTTTAAGATAAGCAAAACCCCATTTCACCTCTGCTGTAGCAGTTCCCTACAGCATGCAGTACACACTCCTAACAGACACAAGCTATCACTTAACTTGCTTGGATTCAATGCTCCTAGTTTATGGGCATCACTGCAAAAGAGAAAGCTGTCTGCCTTTTTCCAGCTGGGCACTACATCCCTCAAGCCTGTGCACATGCCAAGAAGCTGTGGTAAGCAACCACTGGAAACAGCCTTCTGCCATCTAGAGACAAAGACGTCAAATATAACAAGGAGAGGGGGGGCAACAATTTTCTTTAATGAGAAAAAGGGGAAAAATAGCTCCACTACATGCTGAAGCAATAAGACCAGGACAGAAATGTGTAGGGAAAACTCATTGCTTGGGCAAGGAAAGGAAAAAGAAGCCTGTGTTGGAATATTTTGCTGTTTACAGTCAGACAGCTTGCCAAGGAAAATATGAGCGTTCACAGACTGATACTGTACTTACGCTGCTGCAGATTTCAATCACAGCCTTCAGCTGCATCTTTCCTTTCTCAGAGGGCAGAGCTGGGCACAGAGTGACCCATGGATGCCGTTGAGCAGCCTGGGGCTGCTGGGGTGTCTTCTGCCAAGCTGAGGTCTCGCCAATGTGGAAAGGTTTTACTACTTTGAGTAGTACCATTAAATCAGTATCGCTACAGCAGCATAATATCATCTAGAGGAATGCTTGCTCCAGACTAAAAGCATTTGCTAAATTTGGTTTAAATCACTTCCAAAGTGATTAAAAAATACTCTCCTCATGCCAGGATAAAAGTGTCCTGAGAAGGAACTATTGAGATTCTTAAGTTTCCCACTAATCTCCCTTTATGCCTCAATTTCTCATATTAACCTCACTGCTTAGGAGATTTGAGGCACTTGGAAATAGAGTTAATAAAAATACAGCTTTTACACAGGCTTTCCAACAGCAGATGTCCAAGTATTTAAAAAAGCAGATTATTCCTGTGCAGTGAAGGCACAGAGCTGAGCACCTGGGGTCACTTGGCCAATGCTACCCATTGAGCAAGAGATTCATCAATACAACCCATTTACAGCGCACTGCGACTCTCCCTGCAGATGTAGGGTTTATGCACATCCTTGAGATGGGGTGGAAAAGGAGTGGAAAAGGGGTGGAAAATCCAGAACAGGGACGACTAGCCTCGCTGTTCCAACAGCCAAGCCCAAGACAACACTCAGCAATAGTACTCAGCCACATAATTGCCAACACCTGATTGCCCATAACACACCATGTGCTCTGCTGGCACAAGCACCCCATCTCTGGGGTTGTGGGTGGTCCCTTGGTGCTTTGTGGCCCAATGCACCAAAAAAACCCAGAGGAGGAGACAAATGGAAAGAGCAGCTTTGATTCAAGTAACCCCAGGCATCCCAGCTCAAGATCTGAGCTTGGCAACACAACAGCCTTGTGCTCACTAAATGAGACCAAGGCTGGCGGCTGTGGCATGAAGGAGGATATTCCAGCATCCATACAACCTCCAAAGACCCAAACCAGGTTGTGAAAGCTATCCCAACACAGCCCAGTGCACAGCAGGAAGCAATCAACCCTCTAAGCCCCTAACAAAACAGAAAGCATTTTCTTTCCATGGGGTAAGCAGTAGCAGTTTAAACCACAATAACAGTTCCAGTGACCACAGCGTCCTAATTTATTGGCCATCATAGGTCTGTAGAAGCTATTTTTTCAGTGCTTCTCCCCTCCTGTCTGAGCCTAAAGGACAGAGATGCTCCCCAGGAACAAAACCAGCACTATTCAACCGAAACAAGTGGACTTTGTTATCCCATTTGGTTCATTCCTGTAAGTGGCACTGCCTCTCCTCTCCTATGCACTGCTCCAGCAGCCTGAGAAACCCAAACTGAGGGAGAGCACATGGGGCAAGAAGCTCATTTTATGATGCTGGTGGACAGGCAGGTTGCAACTGGCAGCACCTTACAGAAGACTTGTGAAAGAGATTAAAGAGCCCAGCACATTCAGAGCCTCCCGACCTTCCCAAAGTGAGTGCAGAGGGGGTTTGGTACAGAAAACCCACTGGTTTTTGGGGTGCAGCTGTTTTTCCCTGGAAATTATATATAAGAATTGGGATGGCAAAGAAAAGCACCCTATTGAAAACCTACTGAGACGTGCATCCCATCTGTTCAGTAGGAGGGAGAAGACATGAAGAGAAGGACCAGGATAGGGAAGGGATGGCAAATAGCAGAAAAATGCTTGACTAACAAATTGTGTTAACCAAGAACCACTGGGGTGCTGCTCTGCAGTGGCTGAAGTCAGGTAATGACAAAGCTTTTGGCTCTATCTCACAGCTGGGAAATACAGAGAGGAGATGGGGGGAACAGTCCAGCTGAATGGATTTCACATTGTCTGAAGGAGAAGTTCAATGAAAGAAGAAAGATGAAGTTTAAAGAGGAGTTAGAGAAAAAGCACACAAGCAGATGCTCTGCACTAAGCAAGATTGAGGCCAAGCTGAGGAATCACTATTAGAGAGGGAGCTGAGATGAAGAGATGCGAACTGATTTATCCCAGGTAACACTGAGAAGTCCGAAGCTGGACCAGTAACTAAATCTCTATCTTTGAGATCCCATAGCACTGCCTTAACTCCTTTTCATCCACACACTGCAAAGGGCATCCTTTCATGCTC